CTGCATCATAAGTATTAGTGAAAGTTAAAATAGATGTACAAAATAATAGCTTATATGCAAAGTTAGGATATATGCATCACAAGTATTAGTTGCATGGAATGCCATACAATTGCCACCAATTGCAAGCACACCTTTTATTAGTTAGATTAACCTTGAACTTTTATAAGAGAAATGAAACCTCATATCAATTTTGTCCTGCATATCTAACCAACCGCTTCCATAATTATTGCACCTCTTTGTCTAACCTTTTGCAAGGTCTTGGACACACAATTCCCTTAATATGGTACTTTTTAGCCTTCACGCAATTTTCAACAAATCATGTCATGAGGTATATTTAGATCTAATCAAGCAAGTTCACAATTGTAAGTTCTCTTGCCTCCAACAATCTCCCATTAAATGACTTTGAAATATTGTTGGTGATTGCATCGCATTTGCAATATTCTCTAAAGTGAGACTTGATCTAACAACAAGGAGGAAATCCTATCAAATATCATAAGCTTCTTTTGAAACTGCTCTCAACTCATCTATTCGTTGTTTCCATTTTGCTTCATGTGTGGCTTTTTTAGCACGAATGATTAAGTCATGAACTATGGTGCCTCCTCCATATTTTGCCTAGATATTCACATACAAATGACACACACAAAAGCAATGCTCAGCACCTTCAAGTAACTCGTCAAAAGTAGAAACTAGGCCCTGCATATAATTTACATATTTAATTCTATAACTGTGCTAAAATAAAAGTGAAAAAGGTAAAGAAAAGTAGAAAAATAAGTTTACTTTTTGCTAGTCAAATATGAGGACCCATCTTTTTTCTTGCATAATTCTAATGTCATTAAATAGATTCTTTAAAAACTAAGTCCAATAGTCTCTATTCTCTCCATCAACCATTGCCCTAGCTAAAGGAAAGTATTAGTCATTATGATCACGTGCAACAACTACAAGCAACACTCCTTCATATGAACCCTTCAAAAAACAACCATCTAAGCCAATAATAGGTCTACAACCAACCAAAAAACCAAGCTTCGTAGTACATATACACTCACTCGTATATTCTCTTTAACACAAGTAGCCTATCTATGTATGGTCTTTCAGCTTTCAGTCACTAAACAAAAAGTTATCTCTAAGTTGTACCTCTTAACTTCATTATAATCATGTCTTAGCTTATGATATTGCTCCTTAGAGTCACCATGGATTATTGCCTTTGCCCTTCTCCTTACCTTGAATGCCTTCCACAAAGACATATCAACTATATAATGGTCCCTTACTGTAGCAATAATGTCAAACAATTTAATATTTTTGTTTGACTTCATGATGCCAACTATCTTTTCTAAAATCCACTCATAAGAAGCCATCTTCCCATTAATAGACGGCCCACAAATATGTTTAGACAGAAATGTCTTCAAATGATATGTCAATTGTCCACTAACTTTACTACAAAGCATTAACCACATGCATTCATCATGTGCACACTTAAGTCGACAACTTACCATATCATGCTTGATAAATTGCAGTTCATATCCATTAAGTAAGGCATATTCTTTCACTATGTTCTTAAATTTACTAAGTAAAGTGAACTCCATGGTTGACTTGAATTGAAACTCTTTACACATTTCAGAAGGATTGTATTTTTCATGTTTACCTTTAGGCACCCTCTCATCCTCATCATCACAAGATAGTTTATCTTCAAAAAGTTCATTGGAGTCATAATCAGATAACAAAGCCAATATCTTGTCCTTTGTAACCTCAGGTAAGTCCTATCAACTAATTGATTAGGTGGAGTTTTCACTAACTGTGAACTACCTACAACCTCGTTTAATATATCACTAACACCAACATCAGCAAATTAGTTAAAAAAATCATCATCAATGTGTTTGAAGTCACCAATATCTATATCTCACAAATCCACCTCTCCATTACCGTCCCCTTCACTACTATTAGTCAATTCATTCTCCCAGTCCATATCATACCTTGCAGCAAATTAGAAAACTTTAATAGTCATTCTAAACAAAAAAATTCTTAATAAAAAAAGGCATAAAAAAATAGAGCACGCTAAAAATGAGTATAACAGAACTATGTAATAATTGTAAAATAGAGACGAGCATAATGAAAGAACATAAACAAGTTTAATGACGATAACAAGGTAGAAGAAATGAGTATATTAGACCAGAAGCATTGATGAAGGATTAGAACTTACAAAGACTAAAGAAGAGTTAAAAAACAAACGAGTAAATAAGAGGTTCAAATGAGTAGACAAGTAAATGAACAAGTTTAATGTCGACTAGGTAAACAAGTAGAACTTACCAGCATTGACTTTTTTGGCATTGGTAAATGATCTTTTTTGGCATCCTCTAATACTCTTTTCTGATGTTGTGGGTGTGGGGTCTCTTGATCGTGTTGTTTTCTAATGCGCTAGCAAATAAGGCGATTTTGATTGCTTTTTTGGGTTTGTTGATGGCATAAGGAGGGTCCAGTCAATTGCTAATGTAATGTGTTTTTTTTATTTTGGTTATTAAAAAATCCACATTACCACATAATTATTAGTGTTAGAGTCCATGTCAGCATTTTTAACACCATTTATGCCACGTCAAAGTCCCTCTAAAACTATAGGGACCAATGTTGCAAACAAAGAAAAGTATAGGAACTTGAAAAAAAAAGTTTAAGAACCATTAGCAAAATTGAGAAAAGTATAGGAACTAAAAGTTATATTTTTTCTTTCATTTTTTTACAACCAGTGTCTAGGTTATAGAAAGAAGTTTCGCATTCTTGATAGGTTGGTGGCCTACAGTATCCTAGCAAATATTGAAAGCATCAACCCAAAAGATGACTATTAGACTGAGATTGTTTCATTGAACCAAATCCAGACATTTAATGACACTAGAAGACTAGCCTATAACTATTTCGATCTGGGGATTTGGATCAAGCCTCTTAAAGGTACTTAATTTTTCCTAGGAATAATATAATAATGAAAACTAAAAATGGCAATTAAATGTGAACAAGTTTAAAACTTCTCCAGATTCTTCTGGTAAAATTACAAATAAGGCATGTGATTGGTGTGTATCAATCACAGTATACAAAACCCGTTCAATCGAACTAGTAAACCATTGAACTAGTATCTTAACTAGTTTAATAAAATATTTTGTTTATAATCGACTTAATCATAGTTCAACTATGATTTTGACTTTTGTGTTTTGACCATCGATTATTGAACTAGTATCTTAATTGATTTAATGATCGGTTTAGTTTTTAATATTTTGATATCAACACCACCGGTTCTCTTCAAGCAAACTATTGTCAAGCACGTGATATTACCGAATAGGAGCAGCCTTCTTGGCATTTTTCTCACATGAAATTGGTCCCTCCTTCAATGTCTGATAGCGAATAATATGACATGATCACGACATAATATAATCAGACACTTAATAAAAATAGACATATGGGAGAATCCGAGCACCTGTATTTAGATGTCTGCCCTTGGAAATCAAAACCAGTGGTAACAAAACCTTCTAAAAAACAAGTGTCCGATGCTTGTGGTCCTTCAAACGCCTGGCTGCCCTTACCTCATCAAACCAGCATATTGGCAACTTGAATCTTGAAATACTAAAGCGAAGCATATAGTGTGTACATAAATAGACCAGTGAAGCCCAGAACCAGAAAGGCCATTCTTCCCTGCTTCCTTATTCATTTGTAAAGCCACACAACGCTCATCTCTTTCCTTACCAAAATGGATCAAATGCAACCACCTAAGAAAGTGCAATTTACTCAATCGCATGATTTTTTTCTCTGCAAAATATTTTGCATTAAATACAATGCATCTTCTGCATCTAACATTTATGCAATCAATTACTTATATTTTTATGAACAGTAAATGTCTTAAATGAATAAAATAATTTCTTTGATATTATATAAAAAACAGTTTAATGAATTCTCATGACATCCTCACCTTTAATAATATTTCCATTTTCGAGAATAACAATATTATATAGCTGGATCGGCTTTCAATGCCTATTACATGAACGAGCACTGTGGCTCCAATCATTGCAATTTGCATTGAGACCTATATCATCTAAATTTTAAATTTTAAATATTATTTTTGAAATAGTAAATTTATTCTCTTATAGACCAATAAATAGGTTATTTTAATTCTAAACAATTAAAAAAATTTAAAATAAGAAATAAAACAATATCAAATACAAATTGCCCAGTTATATTTGACAATGAGTACCTTATATAAGTCCACTTCCTGCTTTACCTATAAAAAAAGTTATGGAAGCATATTTTTTTAAAATTTGTCAATTAATTTTTTATTCAAAAATTAAAATCCATAAGATATCGTTTCTAATTAAAATATGATTTATTTAATTTAAAAATTATATTTAAAAGCTTATACTTTCCTTACAGTAGTAAAAGCATTTATAATATTTTAAGTAAAGAATTTAACACAATCTACTGTGATAAATATGGAAAGATTAACGACGACAAATGTAACGGGCCAAGGATCCATGCGGGCTGCAGTTCGTTTCATCGTCGGGAGTGTGAGATAATTCTAACCAAAAATGTACCAAAAAAAAAAGAAGAAGAAAAAGAAATAAATAAATAAATAAAGCATGAAATGAAAGAGTCCACTTTTTTTTTTTTTGATAAAAAAATAGACATAAGAGAGTCCACTTTATTCTGAAGCATGACACCCAAATTACCCTTCTCCCTTCCTTTATTGCCCCTTGTCTTCTGTTTTATTCCCACTTTTGCCGCCTTCTCCTCCCAGCGCGGCCTCCTATCTAAAATCCCTTCTTTTCATCAGATCCAGCGCATCAACGCGAAGAATTTTTCCCCCTTGTCATCCATGACTCTTGGCTCAGGAGGATCGAGTGTCGTGGGTGAGCTGCAGACCCATGACCTTGTTCTTCTAAGCTTTCTTTTTCTTTCCTTTTGGTTGCTAACGCTGTTTTCTTTTCTAACTTGTATTATTTCTAAAATTCTCCCACGAGTATACATATTTCTTTGTTTGATTACCTTTAAAATACTCGATGTTCCCAATTTCGAATGTTTATTCTGGTTTCTTCTTTGTTTATGGTGCTTTATCTATGTTCCCCTATTTTCTTCTCGTGACCGATGATGTAAGTTGCGCGGAACTTTGATCGATTACTCCCGTTTAAGAGGGGGTTTTGTCGTCGGTGAATTTTCTTAAACCTTGGTTTCATCTATTTATGAGTGCGCTATTGCAATAGTCATCAAATATTATTCCCGTGCCTATCTGCTTCTCCCCGGAGATTAATGTACTCGGATGTCTCCCTGAAATCTTATTCCTTGTGACCGACGTTTTTATATGAAAAAAGTTTGGATCGCTTAGTTGTTTGTAGTATGCACTGTGTCGCAATTTTTATGTTTTGTGATCATGTTCTTTTTTCTCTTTCTTAAGCATCGAATTTTGAAATTTAAGCGAGCGCAAAATTGAGTATGTTTGAAGTGATGGACATAGAGGGAAGTGATAGTCATTCCTTGTCAAGGATTTTATGCTAATTCTATTTGCTCACGTTTCTCAAAAGCCTGCCAAGTTAGACAAACCCTCTCTATGATTGAATGCGCGAACCATGAAGAGACTCGTATTCATACAATTAAAGAAACGGAAGACCTCGTCGCCTCCTGTACATATTTTAACCTCACTTCTTACTTACGTGGGTTGCTAGTTCTTTGTTCATCAGATTATGGCATGCATTAGTCCCCAAACACTGTAAATTTGAACATGCGTAGAAGCCTTGTGAAAAGGAATGGTTGGTCCTGCTCCTGCTTGATGAGGTCGATGATCACAATGTAGTTGTAAAATTTTTTAAGGAATGTTATGTGGCTCGTATATGTCTTACTTGTTCAGAGCTTCTGATCATTGACTGTAAGCATTAGGAAAGGACACCCTTATTCCCAGACTGCACATCATCATTCTTATTAAGCATCAGGGGGAGTTTTTCTATTGAAATTTGGAGAAAGGATTACATGCAAGAATTCTCTATCTCTACTATTGAAACACAGCAAGGCACATCTTGTGACAAGTTTAATGTTGTTTATCTTACAATATTTGATTAGGTGACATTCTTTTGAATTTCCAAGCGTGTCTTGTTAAATGTAGTTATCCATAAATGCAGTTCCAAGGAACTTCAGATTGCTGGAGGAACTTGAACGGGGAGAAAAAGGTATTGGAGATGGCACAGTTAGCTATGGAATGGACGATGGTGATGACATATACATGCGCTCTTGGACTGGCACCATTATTGGTCCCCATAATGTAAACATTTTATATCTCACTCACACCCCCACATTTAGTTTTCAGTGTCTGTGCGTGCAGAGTCAGTTTGTTTTATTTGAATAAGTAAAATATGCATGCAATAATTTTCATAATTCATTAGTGCTCAGAAGTTGTGCATGTGTGGACGTTACAAGGGGTCCTATGATTAGTAACTTCCAATTAATATCATCTGAGCATATGTTGCAAGTTTCCTTGCGCATACTTTGCACATGTGTACTGAACACACACTATGTCAGCTCTTTACTTCTGTACATGAGTGAGTGTGTGTTTGTGTGTGTTTCAAAGCATGTGATGGCTTTTATGGTTATCATTATTTAAATTTGGTTTGTATAATATTGACTGCAGACAATTATAGATTGAAGTGTTATTACAATTCTGTATTCATTATGTGATTAATAATAGGGTTATGGTAGTTGTTGCCTTCTATGTAGATTGAATTTGGCATGCATAATTCTTTACGAGAGCCTGCAAATTTTTTGCAGCTGATTGCGTAAGCTCTTTGCTTTAGTTGTGAGTAATGATTGATCAACCATGAAATTTGAAAATTTGAGCTCGTATGCCCCTTGGGGATAACATAATTGTCTTAGATTTATTTGTAATCAAGAAACTGTCTCTTCTTTGTCTTTCTCTGTCAGACTGTACATGAAGGACGGATTTATCAATTGAAGCTCTTTTGTGATAAAGATTACCCAGAGAAGCCCCCAAGTGTTCGATTTCATTCACGGATTAATATGACCTGTGTTAATCATGAAACTGGAGTGGTATTAGTTCTTAATTTTCATTAAATTCTTTCAGCTTTTATATATTTTTTGTTATACTCTGTTGACACTTGGATACAATTGGCTTTGGCAAGATTTTCACTGTTATTTATATTAGCAATGGGAATAATTTCAGAGACCTGTGTTAGAAGAGAGTTACAATAAGTGATCTAGGTTTTTAGGATGGAAATTTATGTACTGGTAACATTCTGTTTTTCCCCCAATACAGTAAGTGATCTAGGTTGTTAGGATGGAAATTTATGTACTGATAACAATCTTTTTTTTTTTAATCAATAATGATGATTGTTTGAACAGCGTCTGGATTCACTTCTCTTATCATTGTCATTGTGTGGAATTTAATCTTTTTTCCAATTTTTATAACAAAATTGTCCATGATCCGCGCTAGATTTAACATGTGCAATTGAAACAGGTTGAACCAAAGAAGTTCGGTGTTCTTGCAAACTGGCAACGAGAGTACACCATGGAGGATATACTGACCCAGCTGAAAAAAGAAATGGCTGCTCCACAAAACCGGAAGCTTGTCCAGCCTCCAGAAGGTACCTACTTTTAGCGTCCAACGACTTGTAGGGGATATACGTATTGCATTTGTACCGTGCAATATAGTTTGCAATGCTTTGTGGATCTTAAATTAAAGAACATGAGGGGAATGCCCCAAAAGGTTTCATCCTTCCCTCCCCATGGCTTCAAAGTTGTTTTGTCATTAGACTTTGTCAACTGTGTTGAAGGGATACTGTTTGATGGGATGTTATCAGTGTGTCGCGTATTGGAATTTAACTGTTAAAAGCAATATTTCAATTGATATAAGAATTAAGGTATAACATTTTATTATCGAACTATTCATAAGCTATTAACTATACGATTCAGTTCAGATTTCGTACGACATTTGAGAAAACCTGTATAGTTTATTGAATACAAGTGTTTTGTCTTTTTTTTTTTTTATGCTTGCCATTCGGCCTTGTGAATAATATGGAGCTGAATGGACCAATGACCTTTATCACGGGGATTCTTGCGGTTAACGTGGCACTGGGTCTTGTGGTCTGATAAGATCGAAAATATGTGAATGGCTATTCCTTTTTTCTAATCTAATGCGCGTACTTTGAAAGGACAATTTGCAAATTTTGGATTGGTTAATATATTGGATGTTGATGGACAGCAGTACCAGCCCGTCACTTAAATGAGTAAATCGAGTTTCAAAGAAATTGGGCCGATAAATGCAAAAGATTTCAATCTAGATTTCCGTCAATAGCAGTGTGCCCTGCGGTCTTCGAGGGTCCCTTTGTGCTCAAAATTTTTTAAATACTAGAATTAGAACGAATTATTTTTTATGAAATTGTCTTCACTAAACCCCCCCCCCCGAAAAAAAAAAAAGGAGTTTCAAGTATGATTGTGACAGCTCTTCGTTGGGAATGTGTACTTCCGGGTACCCAGTGTGACTTGTCGAGCAGGGTTTATCTTCTAGCCCAGTAGGTCTTCTAGGCTCGTCTCAAAATGTGGCTCAGCTTGTGATGGGCTGGAATGTGTTGGAAATGTTTAGTAATTGTGACAAAAAACGGATATCAGCAACCAATTGGATTGTGTTGGGTTGAAGGGACAATAAGAAGACTATATATCATCAAGTTCTTATATATATATATATATATATTAAACTGAATCCCTTATTAGCTAAGTCATAAAAAAAAGATTTATCTGTAATTACATGTGAAGTCTGGGAATTACAATTGGGTTATAAATAATTAAACATAACGGTTTAGCAATATTTGTTGGTGACGAAGCATAGAAACTAGGGGAAACATTACCACTTTTCTTGCAGTACAAAAGATATTGTACAAGATGTGGAAGTCAGGCCATTGAATGGAATGCCTTTATTATTATTATTATTATTATTATTTTAAGTATGCCAAACGGGGTTATAACAGGGGAGGGGTGTCTGAAGAGTACACTTGTTGGGAAAGTACCGAGAGTCTAGGATAAGCTCAAAGGTGGTAAAAATTGTTGTCAATAATGGACTGACATACGCATAGATGAATATTTTAAGTACTGAAATCAATCTGAGTGAAATGGACTTTTTTTTGGGAAGGGGGGGTCAAGGCTGTCCTTGATGGTGACAATGCACAATATATAAGAGGTGGCCTTTATTCTTTGCTTTTGTTGTTGGGATTGATTCATATATATAACATGCTTGGATGGGGAGGGGGAGGGAGGCTTGACAGAGCGTTTTGTGATCTTGGCTCATGCTGTTGGACTTGGACGACACAATCTTTGATCATTAACACGGGGTTACCTGATGAGTCCATAATAAAAATAGCTAGGGGACCCACGACTCCCCCGAAAAGACATTCTCTTCTACTGTTTGAAGCACCCTTCCCTTCCCCAGCATAGTGCGGGTATGGCCTTCTGCTTATTTGATTCCAGTTGCATGTGATGATGCACTTTTTCACCTGATTATTGTGTTATCGCGATTGTCCTAGCCTTTGCTCACAAACAACAATATACAGACCTCTGCTTCTTATCACGTCACCCAAGTGGATGTCCCTGGGATAATTCACAAACCATTGATGAATCAATCAGAGATATAATGAACCATGACAAGTGGAAGTTTTGAGCCCTCTTTTACTTTTTGTTTGATTGACATGTTAGTAGGGGGTGGTAAAACTCAAGATTCATTTCGCGAGGTGCAAAAGATTTTGATCTCATGTCCAATGTGGCAGAGATGCTACCAAGGTGTTCAGATAATATAAGGTCCCTCCCACCGTTCCCCCCTCATCTTCCATATCCTAAAATGGACCACTGTCATCAACTTCAACTACTGGTACTTGTAGTAATGGCTGGTTATTGGGCCCATTTGATTCCCATTCTATCGTCCACAGTGCCCCCCTTAATGTCCTATTCTGTGAACCCTGTTCCACTTTTTTCACCTCTCGGTCAACCTTATCCTTCATCATCTTAAATTAACCTCCTCGAATGAAACTATTATGAATGTGACCTGCTGATTTCTCGTAGTTTTTGCGCCCCTCATTCAATGTGAAAAGACTATACCACCAACGTCATGGTATGGTGAATAGAATAACAATGCGCCATGGGGTGGAAGAAGCCAACTTGATATGTGAGTACCACTGCCACACACTTGGTCTATTTCTGTGTCTTCTCGGGGCCAGGGTCTCTGGATTCTTATGCGATGATCGTCAATATCATCTTCATCTTTCTTCTTAGTTGCTCTTCTTGCATCCCCACGTATATACCCTACCCTACTCCTGTGTGTCTGTGTCGTGACTCAAGAACGAATCGCATCATTTTGAATTAATTTGGTTTACTTTCCCTCCAAAATCTTACCAGCTGCATCATCTGCCATGTTATATCATTTTTCTACTACTGAGAGGATATTTCTTTGTGTGCTTATGGTGGGGGAGGGGGAAGGAGTTGGCTTCTCTTCATTTCTTTCCCTCTCCATTTTCTCTTCACTTCTCATCTCAATTATTGAATTTATTTTTGAATGGTTCAGATTTAATGTTTTATAAAATTATTATTATATTTATTTTTTATAAAATTTTACATTTCAATAATAATTTTATAAAATATTAAATCTCAATTATTTAAAAATAAATCTAATAATTAAAATAAAAAATAAAGAAGAAATGAAAAGAAAGAAATGGAGAGAAGCCGAGGAGAACGGGTCAAAAGAAAAGACTCCGAATCGATTTGATGGTTTGAACCCCACGTACGTCCATTCGCTGAAGTAATAGCTTTTTACAGAACCACGTGAGCTGCCAATGTGGGACCTCTCCGGATTCCAACCAGTTCTGAGACGTTTAAATCATCAACTGGTGAAATAAATGTATGGATGGCTTAGAATGATTAGGAGGGCATCGCACTAAAGGTCTTAAAAAAAAATTATGCCATAAGTTAATATATTTTAATATTATACTGCAACTTCAAGAACTTTTGTTATAATTTTTTAAAAGTAAAAGTATAATTTTATTTTTGCATAATTTAAAAATTCAAATCATATATAAAACAATATCCATGAATACATAATATAATATTTATAAATTCTTAAAACAATGTTCATACACATTTAATTGATCAATATATTTAATAAAATGTACAATTGATGCAAACAATATATAACATCATATCCATAGATACACAAAATGATGTTTATGACTTTATGTATTCTCAACTATTGTGTTAAGAATTAATAAATATTGTGTTGAGAATCCATGAATATCGGATTGTACACTATGAATATTGTATTATACATACTTTACGTGACTTATATATTTTAATTAACCTATAAATCAACTGGATATATATGAATATTGAATTATGTATTCATAGATATTGTATTGTATATGTTCTATGTGACTCGTATGTTTTAATCTACAAATCAACTAAACACATATGGACATTATATTAAAAATTCATGAATATTATATTATACATCTGTATATATCGTGTTGTGCTTTATGGATGAGTATTTTGCATAGGTTGAGTTTTCAAATTACACAAAAACAAAATTGTACTTTCATCCCAGGAAAAATTGTAACAAAAACTCTAGAACTTACAGTGTAATGTGAGAATGTATTGGATCCAAATTGTGCGGTGTCATTCCCCCAATGATTAAAGCCAACTAAAAATGTCCTTTTAATTTTCCCCTCTTGCGTGCAAGCCAGAACTGAAATCAATACATGGATCGCTTCTGAGTTCTGATATAGCCCACTCTTTCGCGGGGCACAACTACGTCAGCTAGCCTCCGTCTCTCGAGTCACGTATAATTCGCTGTTTTTTTTTTCCTTGTTTATCGAACATTATTGGACAAAAAATACGAGATTTAATCAGTATTTCTTTTGGTGATCGCACTCGTACTTACAACTTTCAAACTGTAAGTTTTAGCCCAGAATCGCCGCTGTCTTGTGACTTGGCTGCCTCGGCAACAAATCCAGTGTTGAAGACCTATAATGATTATAGTAGTGCGTTCGCAACCAAACCCAATCGTTTTTCCATTTCATTTCAATAAGAATTTTGGAAAGTGATAAAAGTAAAGTACATTCCATTCTAAATACGGGATATAGCAGCTACGAAAAATAAGCGCTAGGCTGTGGAAAATGCTTTAATTTCATTCTAATTTAAAGTTATTTGCAACTGTCGACGTCTCTTAAATTATCGGAAGATCAGGGATATAAATTAAATTAAGAACACACAAAAGGCAAAAGATGGTTGAGTGCCAATATATATATATATATATATATATATATGAAAATTTAGTTTTGTTTGAGAATAACTGAAGATAAGGAAAAGAGAGAGTTGGATTCGAATTCTTCCACTAAAATCTGCCTAGCTCTGCATATTGCCACTACATATATAAATGCATATATTTAATGCCATGATATGCTTTTCTCCAACTGCGGCACCATTTAATTAAAGGGATCCACATCTGATCCTCCAAAATTTCTTATTTTTATTGTTGTTGTTGGACTTTCTTTGACGGACTATTATTTTTCTCTTCTACTATTCTTAGTAGAAGAGAAAAGAGCCACCAAATTGAACAAAAATTGGTATAATTAATTAAGAACGACAATGTGGAGAATAATGTGAGGAAAATACAGTAGTCCCACTTGAAGAGACTGAAAAGGAACTATAATTAATACTGAATAAATGATCTCTGAAAGTATCGAATTTAAAGTTGGCCCCACAAGTAACTATACAGCTGGCCATGAAACCCTTGTCCCACCGCTCCTTTAAAATGCTGGCCTCAGACCAGAGACCGTCGGAGATTTTGCCATTAATTCCCCCAATGAAGTAACTCAAAGTTGTTCAGCCCCCCAACATCATCTCACCCATCCCTTTGACAAAACTCAGATGGTGAAGAAAATGAAGCTACCGTTTCTCGTCAAGAAGTCAGAAATGAGGTCGCCTTCTTCTCCCTGGGCGTGGCCGTCTTGTCACCAACCCAGAACCCTCTCTTTCAGAGCCAATAACACCGACTTGTTCAATTCCAATATCAACTCGGATTCCACTGCAGTGGAAGTCGACCCAATAGAGACCTTGGTTCGTAGCTTGCAGTCGAACCGGCGGCGGCTTTTCTTCGAACCAGATGAGACTAGCTCCATATTAGAGACGAAGGCTTCTACAGGAGGACGCGTGCCATTCAAAGACAGCTTGGTGCTATCCATGGAGTCTCGGGACCCTTACGTAGACTTTCGAAAGTCCATGGAGGAGATGGTGGAGGCTCACGCCCTCAACCACTTGGAGGCTCTGCAGGAGCTTCTGTGTTGGTATTTGAGGGTCAATTCCAAAAGCAATCACGCCTCTATTCTGGCAGCCTTTGTCGATTTACTAGTTGGCTTTGCTTCGGTTCCTTCTTCCTCTCCTTCTCCTTCTCCTTTTTCTCCTCTATCTTTTTCTAGCTCGTCTCTGGCTTCTTCCTTTGGTACACGCTGCGTTAATTATTCTTCTTTAGAAGCAGGCGAAGAGGTTGGGGCAACTGATCCCGCTTCAACTTTGGCTTCGTTGTCACAAGTTAAAGGGGATATTATTGACCATCATGACGAGGCTTCTTCTTCCAATGCTTGATTCAAGGTTCTGATTTTGTAATGTAAATGTTGCAGTTCAAAAGTATCACACTCCCAAATTTTTTATGACTCGTGTTTCTATCGGTCTCTCTTTCTCATCTGGTGTGTCACGCGTATGAAGGAAGTGCAAGCGTGTGAGCTGAGGTATATAACACTGTCATTTTCTTTTTTTGTTGGTGTCCCCACAGCTGCGAGAGTGATTTCTTGAGAAATCTAAGCACCGTTTAAAAGGTTGCTTTCTCTTAAGATGCTTTTTCATGCACATATACAAGAATCAAATTTAAAATGACGTTTAAAGGGTGCAGACTACTACCATTTATATCACACCCACTTAGTAACACTGCCATTTTCTAGCTCTCCTTTTCCTTCATTGCAAATGAGATTTCTTGTTTGGGGCGCTTAATTAAAGAATCTTGTGGCAACCATTTCTGTGGAAAAGAAAAATCAGTCGGCAAACCAACTTGGCCAAACGATGATTTGTGAAAATTAAATCCCACTTGCGCTCAGCGCATTAAAAGGTCTCGCTCTCATTCTCGATATGGACAAAGTTAATTTTATCCGGAAACGTGATGTTTTCTCTAATAAATTAATGTACTATATATATGAATAGGAGAAGAAACCGGGAATAGCTGCAGGTTATGAAGTACTTTCCTTAGACGGCATTCTGTTTTTTGTGCAATCAGAGTTCATAGCTTGTGAGGCTTTTCTGAAGTCTGTTGAACACGATTTATAAATGCATGCATTTTTTTTATATATATTTTCAACTTGACATTAAAGCCCAATTCGAGATGAGTTGGATGAATCACAGAATCTAAGTGTCTAATATATATATATATATATATAATATCTGAATATAAATAAGATAATATTTTGATTTTGAAAAACAAATGTTAGGACAGGGTCTAGGAATGGAGAAATAGATGGAGATGAAGATGAAGATGAGAGGCGTCGGAGTTGAAATGGGAAGTCGTTGTCAAATGATGGGAACATATACAGCGCAGAATATTGAAGGTGGTCCTTTCAGAGCTCATGATGATCATAGGCTGCAGCAAGAGGTATTGTATATGTTGGTGTATTGCTTCTTAGAATACAAATGCGTCGGATGGGGTATGTATGTTTGCTTTTTGTTGGAAATCCAATATTGTCTGTATATGCCTCAATCATGTACACCACTAGTACGTGTATGGTGTTTAATTTGAGAATCTATTGGCCGCTTTAAGATCACTCAGCAAGTCCAGAAAACTGCCGTTCGTCTTCTCAATGGCTCGAGAGATTTCCCATGCTCAATTTCATTCCTTCATTTCAAGTTTTTTCTTTTATTCTTTCCGTGATTTCTAATCCCTCTCTCTCCCCTTGGTCTTTGGTTTCTTTCATTTGGCAGCATATCGCGTGGCCATACCACCCCATGGCACAAGAGATAATAATATAACACTAAATCACTGTCACTCACTTTCAAGCTGAAAAAGTAACAAAAACAGATATTAAGAGAATAAGGGACATTTTGTCGAGGACGAGAGAGAAATACCACGCAGATGTAACTTTGGTGTTTAAAATATTTGTAGAATAAAATGATGTGATCGAAGAAGAATCTCTTCTTCCGACAAGTCCCCAGTCATTTAACAGATTTATTTCACTCGTTATTTTGAGAATGCAAATTCAAATAATAGAAAGAGCAAATATTCAAGCGGTGTTAATAACTTTTTAAGAACTAAATCCCACCAAGGCCGGCTCAACTTCCGTTCTCCCGTGTTGAAATACATTGGGGTGCGGTTTAGCTAGGATACATAGGCATACAGTTGAAGCAACGCATCTCCAAAAATCTCAACAAACATTAATTATTTTCTGAACTGTTTTATCATTCATATTAGATGACGGGCGCCTTAGAAATATGAATGTTTACTATAAGGATATTTTAGTTAAATATTATTAGATCTAATATCCTATATATTTAACAACTTTCGAACTCATGAGTAGAATTTCAAAGTCACAGTGATTTTAAAGTGAGGAATTACGTGCTCAGAATATGTGTGAATGTAGGTGAAGCGAGGGATAAAGGGCTTGTAATCTTAAACTTTGGGGGAGCAGACCAGGTTGCGACCACCAACACTGAACAACACACATGAGAACCGAGAGCAACCTTGATTTGCTTATTTGTCAATGCTATAGCTCCACATTCGAGGCTCTCGTTTGGCTCCCCGTTTAATTAGCTTTGCAAAGATTCCAGGCTCAAATCAAGGCTCCCCTCTGGCCCCGAAGCTTCTAAACCTATGGGCTCTGCCTATTTAATTAAAAAGATAAAAAAAAAAATAGTTTCATTATCTACTTGTAAAATATTATCATATCCATCGGGTTCAGAGAATATACTATATCGCAGCTTCTAGTATCCAGGAAGTCGGGCACGGGTTCCGGTGTTGTGTTTTTTTATCATGCGATGACTCTTAGTTTAGCTTAATTAGAGTATCCCTCTATATAAATTCATAATCTAATTTTATTTATATGTTACTTTTAACATATTTTATCAAAATTAAAGTAAATCTTAAAATTTATTGACTTTAGAAATTTAAAAATTTGTCAATTTCACCTTTATTAAATATATATGCCTTATAACAATACATTTTTCTCTTCAACATTCAATTCAATGGAAGGCAAATATAAAAACTTGTGAGGCAAATTTGATGAGCTGGCTTATAAATAAAATAAAAAAAATCTCTCCCTGTAAATAAGATTAAAGGGACTGCACACACTATATAATAATTGTACAAATTATAGGGAAGATTTTTTTTTATTGGCCAAAATCTAACGGAAGATTTTTAAGCATCAATTTAGGATACAACTATTGAATAAATTATTTTACAAAACATACGATTTAATTATTTTTTGAATAAATTATTTTACAAAACATGCAATTTAATTATTTGTTTTTCATGTTGTACACAGGATGAGGGAGTATCATGACTGTTAAGAAAATACTCGTGTTGCGGTCGTGATGTGCTTTCCAATTGAGACACCGAGAGACACACTACGGGGTCGTAGCTGTCAAGGGCCTGGGGGAACCAAACCGGGGTGCTCACTTGGAGACGATTATCAGATTTTAAAAAATAAATAAATAAAGTAGGAGTAACTTGTGAGATGGTAGATGATCAAGCTGCGAGACCCCCTCTATGTACGACAAGTCGACGACATTAAATTAAGTTAAAATGTTAAGGAAAACTGGGAAAGCAGGACCAAGCCTCCTGACCTTCGCTTGGTGTTACCGCATTTTTGTGGCCCCGCATTAATTGCCCTTTACGTCATTTCCTAATCCAACGCTGGCCCTTTCTCTCTCCTCACTTCTCAAAAATGACTGACCATCTCAAACTACTCATTATGGTACTTCATTTCTCACAAAGCTTTGGTCTGTTCTTCTCTGGCTTTCGCTCTTGTTCTCGTCCGTGAATTTTTGTCTTATTTGTCACATCACTTTTAATGGGCCTCCACACATGAGCTCGTTCTTTTACAAATGGTATCCTCGAACAGGCCGACCATGAGGCCCAGTCTCTTTGTAAGGCAACCAAAGTCATTACTCGTGCCATTTTGGTTGTTGAACCTTTCTTTAATCTGCGTCTTTCTTTTTACCCAAAGCAAAAAAAAAAAAAAAAACACTTGAGTCTTCCTGAAATTGGCACATGCTAATCCCTATCCATGATACTGCTACAAAAAAATTGTATAGCTCCTTTGCCAAAGATTCTTTTTCTTCATGAAAAGTTCTGTTGTGTTAAAAGTTAAAATAAAGTGTTATTCATTAGAGATAAAACTTTCAAGAGTTTCGTTCCTAAAGTAATGATGATGATAATTTCGTTTGGTTATGTTGGAATCATTGTTTTGTAATAAGATCTGTTACTCTTTCGCTCTGCTGTGTAATTGTGTTGTATATTTAGGTTTTATTGAAGTGTGTTGTTTCACGATTTCACGTCATGCTTTGTTTTAGGAGTTCGAACCTTGAGTTCAAACTGCAGACTTCAGAGTCTATATTCGAACTTTTGTTATATCTTGTTGTGTTGATTAACTTTCAAATACTTATTTGTTCATTGGAAAAAAATCTAATTTTTTGATAAAAATGAAACTGATATAATAAATAAAACATCAATACAGCAACGATCATGTAGTTCTCTGATAATTCTCCAACCTTATAAGCCAAGGTGGATGCTGATCAAATCAGACATACGAAAGGAATGCAACCTATCAATATAGGCAGAAGCAATGGAGAACTAGTTCTTATTTTCTCTCCTCCTTCCAAAAGTCTATGTTGAAGGACAAAGTGTGGACTCCTCTAAAGCACTTGATGTAAAGGATCTAGTTTTCCCCTACTCTACAGCTCCATGTTAAAGTAAGGGATCTTTTACCCAAAAACAAAGAATCGAATAACAAACCTAATTTACTACTATAGTCAGTAACTTGTTCAATCAGTTAGAAAACCAACACTTCTGCTTAAGCTCACAAACTCTAGTTTGTTGTTCTCATCAATCTTCAGGGTGTAGAAATTTGGTAGCTTGTAGCTTCTCTCCCATCTAAATTATAATTTAATTTGTTAAATCTTCTAGTCACGTCTCTTTAACTAAAATGCAGATTTTTTTTTAATGACAAGTGAAACTTTGTAGATTTGGTAGCCAATCTACTAATATAATCACCTCCCTCTGTGAATACATAATTTTGACATTACAACAACAAGAAACCAAGTCTCTCACCTCCTGAATAACAGCTTGCATTGGATGATTAATCCCTCCTCCATTCTTGATTAGTTGGATACCTTCTAAAAAATCCTTGTGACATTGAACCTTGGTTATGGTAAGTTGTTTACACAATTGTAATCCCTCTTTCAAAGCCAAAATTTCAGCACTAGTAGGAGGTTAATATCTAAATTGCTTTTGGAATCCAAAGACCCAATTACCAGCTATATCTCGAAGTATACTTCCTCTTATGGTGTGTCACCATTGATCGATTGAGCTATCCATATCCAATCTAAGATAGTTGTCTGTTAGAGGAGTCCATCTATCTTCAAGCTCTTCTCATTTTGAAGAATTCTATGCTTAAGCCTCCCATTGTCCACATGTTCCATGAGTTGATACAAATTAGTTCATTTACACCAAGCCTTTGTCCTTCAATTGCTCCTTTGCATCTATTTTTCCATAATGCCTAGCAAGTGGTGCTAAACATTGTGGACCATTTTCAATTATTCACAGTTGTACCACCGAAAGCATTTGTAGCATTTCTATTCAACCAATCATGTAAATCACATGTGAAAAAAGAATGTACAAATATAGGATTAATTAAACTAGACTACACTAATTTAGCAATCTCACAGTCACAAAGAATATGTAAAAAGGCACAAATCATTCTTATTGATTCAATCTCTTGGCTCTGAGGGAGTTGAAAGGGATTCTCTCATGGTTAACTTGCCATATAAAGTGTTTTATTTCTCAGGAATTGACTATCACCACATCTTTTTTCATAAGTAATCAAAAGGATGATTCTCATAGTTTTGAAGAAATTTATAGGCTCAGTGAATGCTGAAGTTTCCATTAGAAGATTTTCTCCACCAAAAATAATCCTCCAGAGTACTTGTAGGAGCTTTAACCATCTTAATTTTTTATAACATCCTAAAAAAATTTCTCATAATTTATCAATTTAGTTAAGGACAATTGTGTAAATTTAAGTATAATTAGGTTTAAGGATAGTTAGATATGACTATCGATCTTAGCTTTAGCCTTTGAATTGGGTTTGAAAGTAAATTGAGTCACTTGAACTCAAATTGTAGGCATAAATTTTTTCAGCCCACTATATGTTATGCTACATGCCATAGCACAATTTCCCAAAATAATTTTTTTAAAAAAAACATGAATTAGTCCAAAAATAGAGAGTTAGATCGAAAAATAGAGAAGTGTGACCAAGTAAGTATTTTCTTTGCTAGGACATTAACATTTGGGCATTTTAAAGGCGTTTGAAGTTTGATTTCACCTAGGTATGCCTTCCTTATCTCTTCTTCTTCTCTCTACATGTTTTGAAAGTAAATTTAAGATTGAGAGATGATGATTTTGGTAGATTTAAGGCTATAAGTCTAAACCCATTGGTCTAAATGGGACTAATGAAAGTTGTTTAAGTATTTTACACATAGTATAGAAGTACAAGTTTGTAAGTTTGAGTCATCCATTTTAGACAAACCCTAAACCTTTAAAGTGTGATTTCGATTGTTAGGTATTATATTAATGATTATTTAGGTTAATGAAAGCTAAATGGAGTTAATAGAAGTTAATAAAACCTAACAGTTATGCTTGAGTGCAAGAGATTGGAATTTTAAGTAATTAAAGTGTTGATTTATGGAAGTTGGAAGAGTGGTTATGATGATATGAATGGTGATTAGTATGATTGATTATAGATTAATCATCTTGTACACCATTCAAGTTTTGGTATAGCTTGTAAGGTACTTTATTGAGGGGTAAACCTTTAACCTTTCAAAGGTTGAGGTAACAGGGAAAAACCTAATTTGTATGATTGAATATTAATTACTTATTGATTGAAATTGTTGTTTTGCAAACATGAGTAATATTTGAGCTTTTTGATGCAAATTTAACATGTTTTAAAATCATGTTGAATGATTATAAACAATATGCATGTTTTACATGTATGAATGATGATCATAGTTGAGAGCATGACTATGTGTTTAATGGCATGTGGAGAATAGTGGAAGGAGAGAATCTTATACACATGATATAATTGAAACATTATGTATTAACTGCATACAACTTGTTATATATGTGTATAACATGATTATTAGCGAAATTTGCTTAGGAAGAGAAGTCTATTGACAAACCTACATAGTATCATGGCTTACCATTGAAATTGAAAGCTTACATTGGTACTGAACGTTAGAATTGAGAGGTAGCCTTTGTCTTATGGTTCATTCGAGACTATCTTACTTATTTTATAAGGGACTCAAACCTAACTAGTCTCTATCGATTTATAAGAAGGCTAGATTAAGGGTATAACACCCCATGGTTGTTAGTGTTAAGGAAAACAGTGGTAGACAAGTGAGTAAGTTAACCTTGACTCGATAGCTCCTTATAAGTGAAAGATTAGGTTAGTTCGAAACAGATGTAGCTACTTAATAGCTACCAGTTTTATGTCGAAAGTAACAGGAGGGTATAAAGCTTGCATTTGATCATGCATGTTAAAGGCGTATGTTATTATTATGGTCCAGTATATGTTAAAGGCGTATGGTTGTTAGTTTTGCAACCCTATGTTATGCATAATTGGTAAATACATGATGATATGTGTTTAATACCTTGTTACATGGTTATTATTGTTATGACCATGGCTATGTTTGTTATATATGTGAAAAACATATGTGTGCTATTACTAGTAGCATTGTTTTTAATTGATATGCAACTATATAGATTAGGTAAAACTTGATTATTGAGTGGTTCTACTCACCCCTCATTCTCCAATATTTACAGGGCCTAGCTTATCGGATCCAGATCGAGGGACATGTGCTAAGACTTAAGATTATAGAGTAAATTTTACTTGTATGCCTCATTGTGTTGTTTATGTGTACTAATGTTTTTAATTTGCCAACTAGGAATCATATAATTGTTTTAAGCTACTTGCATTATTATTGTGTACAACTTATTTTTTTTTACCTTGGGTTAGCGAATTGTGATTGTAAAACTTTATATATGATTAAAATACTTGTGCAAGTAGTATAAAGTGTATTTTAAGTTGTTATTGATGAATATAGATAATTTGTGCAATAATTTCCTTCCCCTTATGATTTATGAAATTAGGGGTTGAGTGTTGAAAATGTGTTGTACATGTTATTGTTAAGTCTATTGAATGTAGTCCAGTGGTGGTTGTGAGCTTATGGCACTTGATGTGATTTTGGACACCTTAGTTATGTTTTAAAAGCATAAATGTGTAAGTTTACTTTTGATATCTAACTTTTGATTGAGAAATAATTTGAATGTTAAACTATTTCTGTTAGTTAGAACTTGAAGAAAGCTTTATGTAGAAACCTAAATTACCTCAATCAAATGTCTAACAAGATTTAGGGTGCATTAAAAGTGTGGTCAGAAAATTTGTCATGAGTCTTGATAGTTTTTTTGTTGTCATAGACTTCTACATTTTATGTCACAATATAAGATTTTATACAACAGCGTATTATGGAAAAATCACTACTTTTGCTCTTTTGACTCCAATTTAATGTTATCTTACTTTATATGATATCCATGCTTCCTTGTGCACGTTTTCTCTTATTTTTGTTTATAAAATAATTTTTTAAGCATGTTAAGTTTTAAAAACTTGGGATCTCATTTATGTAAATTTTACAAACGTAGTAATTCAATCGAGTTAGTCCTATGATTACCTTGATTTTAAAGATAATTGTGGATTAATAAGAGTGACTTCATAATGTTATATACAATCCCATCAAGCAGGAATTTTAGACATTCATTAATGTTCCATTCCCCATTAGGTTGGACAAATAGATCCACAATAGCCTTAGGCTAAAGCTAATGTTGCTTTTTATTAATAAAATTGATGAGGGGTTCCCTCAACGGGGTCCACAAGTCCCACCAAAACATGATACTCTTACTATTGTTAACTTTTCTCCTAACAATACCTCTAAATCTATCCCAAACCGTGATAATACTACTCCAAACCAAAAAAGAATTCTTGTTGTTTATAACAAAGGGAAAAATATCCTTTCCACATTTATATTTAGCCTTGAGAACCCTAACCTAAAGAAATTCAGGTTTGGTAAGTAATCCCCAATAAAGTTTCATGATAAAAGCTAAATTTTTCTTATAAAGAACTTTAAATTCTAAATCCCCATTCTCTTTATCTAATTTCATTGCTTCATAAGCAATTAGGTGGAGTTTCCTACCCTCCCTACGTCAGTTTCAAAAGAAATTCCTATTGATTTTTTTCAATTTCATTAAGCACCCTTTTAGGAAGAAGAGTAGTTTGCATTTGATAGCTAGGTAAAGTCGATAAAATAGATTTAATCAAAACAATTCTACAAGCTAAAGACAGGTATCTACCTTTCCAAGAGGAGAGACAATTTGAAACCTTTTGCACAATTAGGGAATAAGTTGAACAAGTAGCCATACCATGTATGAGGAAGACCTTGTATTTCCCTAAGACAGCTATGATTCCTATCCCAAGGCTATCACTCAATTCCTTAGCATGGTTGAAATTGATATTCTTAGGTAAGAAGACGTTAGACATGTCAAGATTAACTCGATGACCAGAAGCAATACAAAATTTGGTCATAACTTCCCTAATGAAATCCATTTGATTTTTAAAAGCTTTAATAAAGAGGATAAAGTCATCAACAAAGAATAAGTAGAATATACAATGCCCTTCACCTCTAATTCTCACAGGTTTGCACTTCTTGAAATTAACTTGTCTTTAGATTAAATGGCCCAATCTCTTCATGCATAAAACAAATAGATAAAGGCCAAAAGGATCTTCCTGTCTGACTCTTCTAGTGGAGGAGAATCCCTATATTTCTTCACCATTCTAAAGAACTCTCATCGAAACCAAAGAAACATGAACAAAATTTAGATTAAATCATAGTCTGCGAAAGGTCTTCTATAGAAATTGCCCATCTAATCTATCATAAGCTTTTTTCATATCCACTTTAATCGCAACAAAACCTTTTATGCCTTTCCTTTTCCTCATAGAGTGAATGATTTCTTGAGCTGTGATAATATTATCACAACCTTGTCTTCCAACAATGAAGCTTCTCCCTCTATTTCTATTTATAGAGGAAATTATCATTTTTTACTTTTTTTTTATATAAGCAACATCACATATTTCAATAAGCATTTATTACACATTTTTTAAATTACCCCTCATGATTTACATTAACGAGAAATAATTAATGCATGCTTATGCTAATTAATATAGGGCATTTTAGTTTAATTTTTTTTATTTTTAGACATAATTATTATGATTAACCAACTTTTTTTAAATTGTGTAATACAGTTGTTTCTCCTTATATATAAAAATGGAGGGAATACATTGATTAGGTTGGACAAGAAGATTCATAACCAAAATGCAGATTTAGATATTGACCTTTTAAATGCCTACTAAGTTTTGTGTTGTCACTAGCTGAAACAGGATATGCTAGCATACATCTTCTGCCATCACAATAAAAGCCCTCTTTGCTAGTAAAGGCCTGTTTAACTGTCCACTTAGAAGAAACGTAACAGATAATTAGATGCATGTCAATGGACATTAACTCTTTTTAAAGGCTTTAGTCCAACTTCAATTGACTTTCAATCAAGCAGTCTATTTGAAGAGGCAGTAGATAAAGTGTAAATCGGACTAAAATGATAATTAAAGTGAATCAAGTGTCATATTTATTGATCACAGGAGATATATACTTGCCATGGTAGCATTTCTATGTTGGTCTTCAACTCTTCATGGCAAGACTTTAAGGGAATTTACGAGGCTAGCTAATGTTGGTTGGCTTGCTTGTTGATGTGTTTGTCATATATCTTTATCACAGATTGAGTTGTCATAAAGATCTGCTTCTGACTTTGAATGACGACCCTTCATGTTTCCGCCATACAATCTAGAATTGAAGATTTCCACCCTGTCATATGACCACATGTTCAAAGAAATCATGTTATCCTTGTGTATGATATAGTTTCTAGTGTATGCATGAATTAAAAGATGTGAATTTGAGCTAGTATATAAGGCAAAGACAGGAAAGTTCTCAGTATTTGAGGTATGAGTTTAATTTTCCCACCATTTAAAAAAATTCCCTTTTAAATTCAAAGACAATTGTTCATTCGTTTTCTGCATTTCATAGCATACACAAATTGTGAAAGCTAAACAGGTCTTGATGAGTTGCTCTATTTTTCATTCAGAGAATTTTTATTAAGGACTACTATAGAGAATTAATTTTATGTGGGTTCAATTTTTTAAAAAATTTTAGTTCAATACAGAAAAGAAAAATTAAAAAAATTTCAACAACAAAAAAATTAAAATACCCTTCAATTATTATGCCTTAAACTTAAATTAATTCTCTACAGTCGTCCTTACCTAAAATCCTTCCTTTTCATCTCTTGAAATATTCTTTAAAACATGATTTATTTTAGTTCAACTCGGCATATGTTTATCCAAAAGGTGGAAAAATTAATCTTTGCAATTAAGAGTTATTCGCATTATACCATTATATATCCCTATTAGCTAAAATCAGCATCCCGTCTCCTTTTAACTCCAGCGAGTGATCTCCGCCGGGATGCATCTTTTGACATCGAGAAAAAGACACTGTAACCCATAAGAATGCTTCCTGGTGTACGTGTTCAATGGCCTTATTGATTCATTGCAACCTACCTCTCTTTGCAGGTTTTAATTACAAATATTTAAATAAAGCAGCCAGCCTGCAGCTTCGTATGATAAATGGTATCAATGCATGCATTACAGTAAATGAATGCTGATGAAATGAAATAAATGCATGTGTACTTTTAGTAGCAAGCTAGCCAGTGGACATGCAACAAGCCAAAGTTTAATGCAAGCATTGGAAAATGCACCATGTCCACACAAATTTCGATCCTCATTTGCTTGAAGAGCATTAAACCAACTGTCCCTCCTCACTCAGACCATTCTAATTATTGTAAGCCCAATCCCAACGCCTATATCCCCTTCCCACTCAAAACCTCCAAGTCATATATGGGACCAGAATTCAGTTTCCCTGCAGCACTAATTCTGAGAATGAATATATAACGTAACCCCGTAATTTACTGAAATTCCCCCATGGTTCTTCGTTAGGAATGACGAAGAAAGTTACTGATGATCTGGTTAAACGTTACAGAAGTGAAGATTAAAGGCTTCTTTTTACATTTGGATGACACAAGCAAGCGTAGATTGGAAGTCTCTGAACAAGTTGAAATCTGACAGAGCAAAGATTTATACAAACTAGTGAGCACGTGGGCAACTTAGGACTCACGTGACTTGCGCGACAAGCAAAGCTTGGGTGAGCTGGGCTTCACAGAATGCACCCCATTCCAGATCTCCGTGAAAGCTCTGACAATAACCCCATGGTGGTGCGGCGAATTGAGCCGAAGAAAGCACTGCAGAAGCTTTCTGAGATCATCCGCGGCGTAAATCTCGTTCTCCAGTATCATTTGGAGCATGGAATGCCTAACGTCCAAATAAGGGTCGTCAGAATCTTTCTCCACCGCCACGCCTTGGCCTCCCACCCTGCCCAGACCCCTCACCGTCTTCGGCGCCCTCGCGGTGTTGTCGCAGCTGGAAAACTGAGAAGAGCTGCCGTAAGGAGAGAATATGGAGGTGGTGTTGTCGTTGTCCCAGGAGCTTGAAGAACAATAGTTGTGAAGCGGGAGCTTTTGGTTAGTTGGCTTGCGAGGCTTAGTCTTGGGGTAAAGGATGTGAGAAAGAGAAATCCTTGGTTTCCTGCAACTGCCGCAGCCCAGGTCGACGGACACGGTGTTGAAAAAAAGCTTCTTTCTGGAGCTAGACATTGCTAAGGGATTGGTTGCGAGAAACAGGGTATGAAAGCCAGAGAAGGAAGATGAAGAGAGATAAACGAGCCTGGGACGAATGAATATGGTAATACCATTTGATGTCAGGGGATAGGAAGGATCGTATAAATATATGCTACGTACCCTAATTGTTGAAGCTTTTCATTGAGGACAAGCTGATCAGGGCCGCCGATTTTTGAGAGAGAAACAAGCGCGCGAGTCGACCGTCCGATCACATGTGCATGGAGAGTCAGAGTCAGAGTTATTGCTAGTACTTATTAGAAGCGCTCGTAGATAATTATGCTGGTAACTTGTGGCGTTGTGATCAGAATCAGATTTTAATTTTCTCGTTTTAAGAAGGTGTACTTTTAAAAATGGAACATGAGATCGGGAAGATACAGCACGAGCTCCAAGCTGACATGACAGTGAAGAAGAATTATAACACGGACGGAGAATGCTAAAAACAATTGAACCACTTGATTCTGTACCCAAATTTTCAACCATCTTGCGTTGGATATGTGATTTGGCTTAGCTGTACGGTTGTATAAGCCGACATGGATTTTTATTTCCTCCACAAAGTTCAAGGGTTAATTGGATTAACTTTAGCATTACCGCCTCTCATAGTCTGAATCTTTCAAATATCTCTTTTTCGTTTTCTTTTGTTTTTTAAGACGTGTCAAAGAAAGGAGAACAGGGCCCAGGTGAACAAATGATGAATATGATTTGCCAAGTGATGAATATGATTTGGCTCGGGAGTTGCAGGCCAGGTGAACATGGTTTAACCGTATAAGCATGCCTGTGAGACAATAATTGCCAAGGCATTTTGTCCTCGTTCAATTTTAAATTTGCATTTCATTTGTTCATGAATTAATAAGATTATTAGACATGCAGTACAGGTCTCTCAAATAATAACTAAGAATGCGTCCTTTCGCAAATTTAAAATTGACATTTCGGTTGTTCCTAAATCAAGATTAGACATGAAGAATCATGTCTGATATAATTTCTGTCTACACTTGGAAGGATAGATTACCAACAAGCTATGGCAACTAATGCCGATGCAATAAATTAGAGGCAGTATTAAGCCGGCCCGTGATGCAATTGAATTTATATGAGATTAACGTAAATTCAGAAGAAAACTCGGGGAAAATTGTATGCATCCTTAGAATCGGGTCATTAAATTGGAACATGACGAGTACGTATATGATTTTTTTCCAACAATAACATAACAGAAGAAGATGATATAAGAAAGAAGTCCTCAGCCTGTACATGAAAATCATAGATTTGTGACGTTGTGAGTGGATTGCATAGCAGTAATAATCATCTTGCAATTAAGATACATATAGATGTTGGGAAGAAGAAAAGGGGAAAGTGAAATGAAATGAAATGAAGAAAGGAGAATTGAGATGGAGCCATGGAGGGACGAGTATCTTGGAAGAAAGTGGAACAAGTAAGGCATGGGGGGTTGCGTGGTTGCAAGTACAGAAGCAAAGCTTGGGTGTACAGGAGATACAATATATAAACAAAGGCAAACGTACGTGAGCTACACTGATAGCGCGTGCCATGGCTTTACCCATCAAAAAATCAAAATTGCTGAAATACTAATAATTGCAAGGTACATGCGCACCCTCTTAATCATAATTCTTCAATCTCACGCTTTACTTCCTTAGCCCCCACGCTTCAAACGCAGGCCTCCATTTTCACTTTTCTTGTATCTTTGTCTTTACACTGTAGCCTTGCCCCTAAGCCCATCATGACTCTCGCGTCTTAGCCCACCAACGTCATTCCGGTACCTTCATGGCCCACCGAATCTCTCTCTCTCTCTCCCTGCCCCATAAATATACATATTTATTATTTAAATATAGAGCATAAATGTGTTTTACATGTTCGTTATGAAATGTTTGAATGATGAATTAGTATTGTGCATTGTCAATTGTCTCATTACTTATTATTTTACAGTTAATGACAAATCCATGGATAGAGCATAACGAATCACGTTATGTATTGAAAAAAGAAAAGTGAGCTGCTCTATATTATTTTCCGCTTTTTAGCTTTTGCGAGCCGTATAATTTGCTACAGATTTTTTCATAAAAACATCAATAGTTATGTTATGTATGTGTCTATATCGAACTTCACTCGTCTTTAGATACTTGTCGGGGATTGCAACGAGATGTATCAAAATTTGGTATAATGTTCGGTTGGTTCACCACAGCACACCTTTCTTATTCAAGATTAATGGTGTCTTTTAGCAGAGCCTAGCAAATTGAAGTCGCTGAACTGAAAATTTAGGCTTTATCTGTCCACATTGCATAATTAGTCCCCCTGATTTGCTGCGCACTGACCTGCAGTCCAACTGTCCAAGTGGGCGCAAGAAAATAAAATAAAGACAAAGATATGAGTCTGACAGGTTATGTAAAACTTCTAAAACCTCTCCCCACACGGAGCCAAGACTTGAGTTGAGGGTGTAGGAAAATATAATTTAAAAATAATATAATATTTTTAAAAAATTAATTACATCAGACAAAAAATATAATAACATGAATAAAATTGTACATATTTTTATTTGAGCAAAATATATTATGATTTTTTTGACCAAAATATAGAGAAGATTGCTGTAGAGTTTTACTTTGAACCTCCAAATATTTTTCATTAAATCTAAAGAGTTTAAAATATTGAAAATATAAAGTGCAAGGTTATAAATTTTCTTTGCTATATATATAGATGTAATTTTTCCCTTGTGAGGTGAACATTTGCCTCCTCGCACGGGCCAGTCTCACACAGATAATCCTTTCCCTATATAAGAGGGGCGAATGGGTAAAACCATACCTATCGCATGGATAATGTTATGATTAAATAGTTAATGCCGTTACAACTACACTCACAGGTTACATTTATGTAAGAACAATTTTTCACTTCCTTTTTATGCAGAACTGTTCTACTCTTCTTTTAAATATTAAAAAAATACTGTTTCAATGGCCAAAAAATCTCGGTCAAAGTAAGTATCGGTGGCAGCCCGTTTATTTTATTTTTTTTAAACGCGTGTAGGAATCGTTAAGCTTTTCAACCATATATCTTTAACTTCATTATTGAATAATGAATTTCTCATGAGATAACGTATTAAATTTTAAAAACGACTGATTGTCCACCATATAAAAATATTATTTCGACGTTTTCATAGAGAGGGAAATTTTTATCTGGCCATTTAATTATCAGCAATCCAGACAAGGTTGACTAGGAATAGAGTAGACAAATAAAAAATAAAACATAATGCGCGGGTTAAGGATCACAAATACGTACCATTATTGGCCAATTGGAAACGGAAGAGTGTGAGGTTGAAGGTTCAACTGGTTTGGCATGTATAAACATCATACGTACGATTTACGGAATTTTGAACAAGCACGGCAATTCAAAGGAAGCACCTTCCTCGCAATCACGGACGAAAGAAAACCCGTGGTAGTCCTGTTTCAGGGGATATTCTACTACGTACTGAGCGATCACGAATCACGGCACAACGATTCTGACTCAGTTCCCCCGGATTTTTCCGCTGATTTGCCGAATGTATTTAAACACTCAATGCTCAATCGGACGATCGCTATACCAGCTAACCGTCACGTTCTCGTACATTATTCTGACCCTTGCAACTATATATATTGTGTTATTCTCATAGTTTGACTCTCTCTCCCATTTTTAAGTCGTTTAATAATTTTCCTTTTGTCAGTCAGTTGGCTGAGGTTGGCCCGTCATGAGCAGCACTTACCTTGCATCTTCACCCGGGTTTACCCTGCCCAAAACTCTCTGTTTCATTGCCTCAAAAATTAACAAAAAAAAAAAATCGAGTCTATATCAGATACAAGTTCTATTCGTTGTGTGAATCAAGCACTGACGTTTAACATTTTCCTTGACCCGACAAGCGATAATTATGGGAAAAAAGCGTTGAGTTTCGTTGACGCACTAAACTAATCGTGTGCAATTGATTGACAAATCAATCTAGCCAATTACCCTGCTCAGTGGGAATTTGATTGCGTGATATATAAAAACCTTACTATCTTGAGATCGGTCGAACTGGAGATCTTACCAATATACATACCCGGCCACTAAAGTGTCCACTGAAAAGTGAAAGGCAAAATCAGTAGAATTGTTACGGACTTTTATCATCTTACACATAATCTATCCACGTGTTAGTTGATCAATACATAACAAGATTATGCAATTGTACTTCGGGGAATTTGGCAAAGTAAATATTCGCTCTGTCTATTTTTTTTTTTAACGGTCACTTTTAAATGTTTTTATCAATATGATATTTTAAATTTTAATATAATATCAATTATTACTTTTTTTCAATTACGCCCTTATATATGGTCATTAACTTGAGAATTCCAAGGCAATATTGCATAATCACGCAAATAAATTGATTTAAAAAATTTTACTTCCCCTGTGTTTATTATTTTTTTTATTTGCCCTCTATTGGAACACCTTTAGAGGGGGGGGGGGAAGATGCAGCTATGATGTAGATTGAGTTAGAGGGTGATTTTAAGATATTCGGTAATTTTTAAAAAGCTTCAGAACTATAATGAATTTTACCAAATTTTTTTAAGAAAAAATATCAATTAAAGACTATTAAAAAAAAATTTATATCAATCGCTTATTATGAAAACCCGAGAGGATATTTGTTGATGCTAGTTAGTCTTTTATCAACAAGTATCTAGTTGAATTTTAACAATTCATTCTAAATTAACAACATTTTATTTGGGCTTATTTTTCATTTAGATTTTGAAAACAATTGATTCTTGACTAATATAAATTTTCTTCAGCAGACATCCTTGATTGCTATTTTCTCTTTTCTTAATTGGTATAAAATAATAAAAATGCTTATGGATGAATAAGGAACAGTAGAAGAGTAAAAAAAAATATTAATTATTGATATGAAAATAAGGAGAATATAAGAGATTGGGATGAAAGAAATGAATAATACAAGAGAGAATTGGGAAGAAAAGAGTGGTGATATTCATTCACTTAGATATCACAAATGTGTGGTATACGGCCCTTATTTATAAGCCTCCAACTCTACACAAGAGTCAAAATTTTATAAATAAAAAAATTATTCTACATCATGATATCACATGAAACTATTGGAGGTTATGAATAAATATTAAAAAAATTATCAATTTAAGGGCTATAGAGTCATGACATTAATCACGACACGGAATCCTAAGAGGCTATGAAGTTATGGACATCAACAAAAAATATCCATAACAATTACATTTTTTAATCTAGATACTAAAATTTTAAATGATAAATGAAACATTTATTCTTGTAAGTGTTTGAAAATAGATCAATCTCTGTTTTCATTAGAAAATACTACTCTCTTTGTTGATAAATGTGAGACATTTTTTTTACTAATCACCCTTCAATAAAATAGTTAATTGCCTTCAAATTAATACTATCTTTTTTATATTTATCTTTATTTAATAAGATGTTTTACTTTAAAATAAATATGAAGTGACTCATTTATCAGAGGCACTTTTGAAAAAAGCATATTAATTATATCTTGAAATACTAAAAATATTTTATATTTTTTAACATCTAAACCCTAAAAAATGCCTTAGATATTATTTCAAATGAAGAAAGTATTTATTTAAAGATGAAAAAGAAGGAGACAAAGAAAATAATTGTCCTTTCAGATTCAGAATATAATCAATACATATAAATTAAAATCTCCAATCCTAGCTGCATCAACTTTTTGTTTTCAATAAGTTTGAAATCAATCAACTAAAAATTATATTGCAGTTAGTGTTTCTAAGGCCAAATAGGCCTTGATGGTCGGACCAGGGCTCAAGAAGTGTTGTAATGATTGAGTGGTGTGTTAAAATGATAAATCTCACATTACTCATGTAAGAATGGCTCCAAGGATATAAGTATTAAGTAGTGAAAGTGAATAAGTAAATGAATTTAAAAGAAAAGTGGGCTCGTATACACGAGACAGACCAACGCAAGGCATTCACTATTGAAAACCTTGAAATTTGGCTATTTGAATGTCCTCAATTTTTAGTCTTTAAACAAATATTTAGATTCTTAAATGAATTTTATCAAAGTTATTTTTTTTTCAATGTTTTTGGACAAATATGCTTAGTAGTGGTTTATGCTCCTGACGAGTGCATAGGTGTACGGTCTTTAGCCTAGCATCTTAAATGTCCAATGTTCATATCTAGATCTTAGCCTATATAAAAGCTCACAATTAGATAGAATGAGTTGCACCGGTCTTCGAGTTTTTAAGTTATCTCTTCTATTCCCTAGTACTGTTGTTTTATTGTCATGTTCCTTAGTTTATTCCAACTAGTTTCTTTTGTTCTATGCCCCTGTCTGGTAATGTAGGATAAGTATTTTTAATCTTGGGAAGTTGTCATGTGATCAATACAGTATGATGAAATAATTCTTAAGGATAATGTCTTTCAACATGACTCAAATTTAAAATTACTACCTATTGGCAATAAGAACAAAGCCGTCTTGTTCAACTATTTGGTCCGTCCTGCCAATTAACTCGAGTTGGCCCATTTTAACCCAAGCGATTCTTGAAGACTTGGAGAAAAACTCGACACTTAGAATGGTTCATCCATTTTGACCCATTTTTTATTTAAATATTTTTTATTTAATTATTATATCATTGATTCAATTATCAATGTAACTAGTTAAACTATGAGAACCATAATCTGTTAATTTTTATGGTTCATCTTCTGATCTGATTTTTAAAACATTAATTATAATTATAGTGAAAACAGGAATGGTGCTAGTGATAGTACAATGTAGCAGGATAATATTGGTGCAACAAGTTCGATCGGATCTTGGTGGACAAGAAGATAAAAAGAACCTTAATCAATATATAGGTGGGCATGTATGCATGACGACGCATGATGCATGGTTTGGTGATGAAATAACCACTAAAAGACAGAGACAAAAAAGAAAAAGAAAAAGAAACAAGTTAGTTAGTCAAATAATGAGAAACAGTTGAACCACTCCATGTATCCCAATCCCGATGTGGTTCTTGTGATTAGTTACTTCCATTAGAAAGTGGAAACACCCTGCCCACTCAGTGTGTAGTGTAGCATGGTTGTTCAACCACACTAGGTACCATCCCAACCGTTTTGCTCCAAGCTGTACTGACTCAGTTGTCATCTGGCTGAGGCTGGAGCACCAGGATGGTTATGGTTGTGATGAAATCTTGATCATTTAGTATTAATTTTAATGGTCCAGATTTAAAAATTTTAACTCATATGATTTATTTTTTTTGTCAACAGACATTTATAATATTATATTTATTTTAAATTCTGTATTTAGTAAAATAATAAAAAATTATATCAAATTTAAACTGTTTAGATTAATTTTTAGACGGTTGATGGGAAATGGAAACTGACCTGGTCTCCATTTGCTAAAAAATATATAAAAAGGATTTGCTTGCGACTGCATTTGATTCTCCGCTGAACGTGGCTTCAATATATCCCGCCTCGACACATAAGGCTTCAACGGGACTATTGAATTCATATCTAAAGCCAGGTCAACAAAATTACCAGAATGTCCATTATACCCTTTCCTGCCTTCTCTCTCTTCCTCTCGCCCTCCAATGCCTTCGTATGTCGTTCTCTTTCCTTTTCAGTATTTAAAGGCTAAAGAAGTCGTCAGCTGTTCAAGGCCCCACAGATAATGACACAAAGCCCAGGACGCAAAACAACTAGTCTCTTATTCTCAAGCAAAATAATAGTAGTGATTAAAAAAAGCAACCAGTCTCTGGTCCACGATGGATACCCCCAACGCCAATGCATTTCATCGCCATCATCAACACTTTCAGTTTACTTGTTCAACGCTGATGATTTTATTGAGTAAAGGTCGTGTTTCGAAAAGATTCACGCCGAAACTTTCCACTCCAATGAAATTCTTGCCCTCCCATCAACGCCTCATTCATGAGTCCCGTAAGTTATCAAAACAATCATTCTTCACCTTCACGGCCAAAACTTCCAGGAACTTGGCTTTGGCCTCAACCTACGGTCAACTAACTCATTCAGCTCTCTAATCTCCGCCATAATTTTTTTTTTGGTGGTAAGAATAAGGTAGGCCTTGACTGGGTAAAATTATGAAAAAATGATAGAGAAGTCCTCTTAATTTAATTAAGTTTTAAATGTTAAACTCTAAAAGTTTAAAAGTTCGACTTTCGATTTTATAATTTTGTGATGATTGTAATAATCCTTACCCCACTCCATCGAAAGTCTTTTGGATTGAGCCAACCCACATCACTGCAACGGAAGCCGCTTTCCTGAGGTGGTATTTGAGTTATTACTTACCCCATTAAAGAGGTCTTTTGAAGCATTTTTAAACTCAAACCTCAAACTTCTACCACCTTAATGAAGTTGAGATTAAGTCTGGTATCATTGGGTTACTAACCACTTTGGAAAAAGCTGGGTGCCGGGCCCTTGCGCGAATGGTTAAAACTCCAGTCAAAAGACCCCTGGTGGGATGGGATGAGGACTGTTACAATGATAAAGTTGTAATTTATGTTCCAAAATTTAAAAGGGTAAATAAATTTATTTATTTTTTAATCATGTTAAATTTTAAAAATAAGTTACAAATTTATTACAATAAAATTGCAAAATGAAGAGGTTAACTTGTAAATTTTTAGAGTTCTATATTTACTTGAGATCTCATTTGAATTAATTAATTCCCTTGGAATCCATCTATCATTCTTCCTAAAATTGTCTCCAATAAATAATAAAGGGTTAAAGTTTAATTTTATCCCTATGCTTATTTTTTAGAAGTGATGGACGCCTATACTCTTAAATGGGACAATTTTACCATTGGATTATTTTTTTTAGGAGCAAAAAACCTCCTCTACTAATAAACAATTAACTCTGTCATTATATGCTGATGTGGTATGTGCGCGGGATCCACACACGGTGACATCTAATACTTTGACAATGTCCTTTAGTATTAATTTTTCTTTAAAATTTTTTTTCAGGAGCATTGAGCACCCTAATTTTTTTTAAAAGTACTGGACACCTAAAGTCTTGTTAAAATAAAGTTTAATAAATATTATTAAAATACTAAATATTTTAATATTTAATAATAATTTAAATATTATTATTTAAAACATTATAGCACCCAATTTAATATTTTAAAATTTTTAATATTTTGTATTAAAAATGAAGAGGATAAACCTCAAAATTAATGAAGGTATTTTTTTCTCATCTCTCTATTTTTTTCTTGTTAAGTAACTTTTTTTGTAACATGTTAATGGAATAAGTAATATTTTTTAAATAAACATTTTTGCCATTATCTTGTTGGTCCTGATTGTCATATTTCTAATTTTACTCTTAATAGTGCAACATACAGAGCATGTTGAATTTGGGTAGTGTAATATTTTAGAGGAAAATTGTTAGTTGACAAAAAAATTAAAAAATTTAAGTAATATTAAAAATATAAGTAAGTTTTGATATACACATAAAGTAAAACAATTTGAGCACTGTCTTGAAAAGAAGATCGATGTATAAAAAATAAAAAATTATCTATAAATTTATAAAATGCTAGTTTGAGTTATTAATATTTAAAAAGTAATTTATAAATTTTGAATGAATATTTATAAATAATAATATTTAAATTATTAAATATAAAAATATTTAATATTTTTAAAATATTTATTAAATTTTATTTTAATAAAATTTTAAAGTATTCAGTGCTTCTGAAAAAAATTTTAAAGTACTCGAGGCTCTAAAAAAAAAATTAAGGACAAATTAACACTAAAGGACATAGTCAGAATCTTATCTGTCACTATGTGTAAGCCTTACACATATGTCATATTAGTATATGATGGCAAAGTTAATGATTTATTAATATGGAAGATTTTTTCCTCCTTAAAAAATAATTAAGGGATAAAATTATCTCACTTAAAATACATGCAGAAATAAAACTAAACTTTAACCCAATAATAAAAGAAAACTCGAAAAGGAACACGGGATTTTTAATGGAAACACGCCGCCCTTATTTGTCTTGTTCGTGATTTAATGTTGGAAGCGTCTTGATGGAAGTACGTGGAAGCGAAGCTTTATTGGCGAAAGAAAATGGTACATTTTTTGTCAACAGAAAATTGTAGATCAGACCAATATCAACAAGACCATTTAGCATTTCTAAAATTAAGCATTAATCAATCCAACTTCGCCTGGTTTAGTTCAAACATATGTTGCTTACAAACATTTTTTTCTATTGCGAAATGGAACTAATTAAAAAAAATTATGAATTCATGATTTATATCGTACAAAATGACGGAAATGCCCTTTATCTGAACCCAAACCGCCATCTGGAAGTCGTGAATCCGTTTTTGAAAAATCCCCATTAAACCAGACAACGTTGCGTCCAAAAGTAAAGAGAAGCGTCCGCGCCAAGAAATCTCATCTTCTTTCTCCTTTCATTTGTTTTTTAAAAGAATTTTAAAAAGTAAAGAAAGAATCATCCTCAATTTCTGTCCCAGTATATAATTCGAACTTTTCGATACTTCGGAGTTCGGATCACATGCTTCTTGCTTAAATATTGTTTCATCTTGCTTCCAAGATTGATCTTCTCGGAGAACAATCCTCATCCATTTTTTTCTATTGTTTTTCCTTCAATCATTAATTCCTTAGCCTTTGGTTGGCTCTGAATCTTTCCACCTTGAAATCCCATACCCATTTATCAGAATCTCTCTTCCTTGTTCTTCTGGAGAAAGTTGCCATTAGCGATCTTGCAGTTTCACAAACTTTGAAGGCTTGGCCCTTCACAATTTCGACGGGCTGCTTTACTTCCAGAGTTCTGCCGGTTCGTGTTGAAAATGTTGGGAGAATTCATTACTAGAAGTCTTATGTACGTATGCTCTCCCCAGGCATGATTTCTCCAAGTCATTTTGATATTTCATCTTGCATTCTTGATTCTTCAATCTTCTGGATTTCAGATTGCTTCTTGGATATGCATACCCTGGCTTTAAATGCTACCAGACCATAGAGAGAAACAGGGTCCAGAATGAGGAGCTTCGCTTCTGGTGTCAATACTGGTAAGAGATCATTCTTCTAAAAGGAGGGGCCCCTCTTCTTCATCCTGTTTTCGATTGATTGCTGTGAAATTTATGGCTTTCAGTTTGCATTTAAGGGTCAGAGTTGTAGGATCAGAGCTGGATTAGTTAGGATGGAGAAGGAATTGCTCGGCCCTTTCTGTTAATTAGAATTAAATTTCGAAAGCATAGATGAGTGAAGAATAAGAGATTTCATTAATGAATTGTTTCACAAAAAGGGGTCATCTTTTTCTTCATAACCAATCAGGAGTCAATGCCCTGCGATGCAGTGCAAATATTTATTTGACATAACATTGGACCCTTTGGTCCAAACGGGGTGGGGGAAATATAACATTAGAACACGTATGAAATAACCCGGCCTCAGAATTTAAATTCAAATAGGATTAGTTTTTCCTGAAAATGGAGACAATATTCACAAAGAGAGACGAGAAAGATGCAATCCTACTGTTAATTTTAATCAGCGGGTTTGATCGATATGAAAGAAGTTTTAACGCGCAAGTGGATTCACAGGGTTCTTGTGGCATTTCTCACAGTTGTGGAAAGCGTCGCCGACATATTCATTTCCTGGTATGTGTAGGATCTAATAATTACTGGCATAATATTGCAAGTTAATCTAGTTTGTGTAGTCAATTAACGCCAACCTCTTTACGAAAGGTTGCCGATGTACGGGGAGCTGAAACTGGCTCTTTTCATTTACTTGTGGTATCCCAAAACCCAGGTAAGAAAATAGCAGAAACAGGGTGAGAGATTTGTCACTTTCTCTTTCGCGCACTTCTTACCTCCCACTGACTATTTTCGTAAGTAATGAAAAGATGAGAAGACACACACTTGATAACAGTAGAGCTGTTACTCATTGTAGGGAACTGGAGTTATATATGATGCAGTGTTGCGACCTTATGTAACAAGTCACGAGCATGATATTGAGAATAAGTTGCTTGAGTGGAGAGCTAGGATCTGGGATTTGGCCGTATTTTACTTACAAAACTGCTCAGATTTCGGGCAGTCAGCATTTTTGCAAGTCCTCGAGTACTTTGCTGCTCAGTCTAGAAAATTTAGCGGCAACAGCACCACTAAGGTGAATTCTTCTCTTCACTTATGAACCCTGTTTCAATTTGATTAGCCTGCCATTCTCAAGTAAAGTTTTGAGTGAGGTTTCTCACGAGTTTTTGTAATTGCAGAAAAATGATAAACAGGGTGAAGGTGAGGCGCAATACCCTCCAAAACGATCGATCTTTTTTGCCAACAGGAAGCACAAGAAGCCGCCATCATTGTCGGAGTGACGCCAAAGACCAAACATTTCGAAGACACCCAAGTGTGAAACTGTAAAGGTTGGTTTTGATTCTGTACCAGAGTACAACCTCAGCCAAATTCGCGCGATAACCTGCCACCGAATCCATAAATCCAATACCCCCAGCATAGTTGAGAACTGTTTAGGGAGAAAACTTGTATTTTGTACATAGTCACATTAATCTTACCATCATTGTCATTCGTTCTTTGATCAAAGTTATCAACTTCCATTGCTAAGCTCAACCCTTTCTTAATTTTTCCTTCATTTTGAAACAATGATAGCAAAGTGACCTGTCTGAGGTTCGATTAATGGCATTATTCATTCGTTGATTCCATTATATTATATGTCGGACAGCAATGAAAAAAGGGACAAGTTTATGAATTAGGAAATTACAGTAGCGATAAACATTCTGTGTACTTAAAGTTTAAACCAGACAAAAGAAATTAAAAACGAGCATCCCCCATGATTAAGCGAAGTGACTTCAATGGGGTTGAGGCCAGATTGCGCGGGATATCCGATGGAAAATCCAGGAAACACCAGAAACGAAGCGGCGATAGAAGAAGCTGAGATAAGGAAGTAGGAGGCGAGGGAAGCATGAGGAGGAGGAGGAGGGTGAGCTGGTGGTGGGGGAAGAAGACATTGGCCGGAGGTAAGCCGAAGCGGCTCGCTTGACGAGGCGATTGCGAATGGAGATATCGTAGGCAGAGACAGAACCCGAAGGTGGAGTGGCGGATGAGAGTAAATCTCTGAGAGAAGTGTAGGACACGAGAGAAGATGATCCATGAGAGTGATGACCCAAGTCTGACGAGGATAGCGGCGCCTGCACGGTGTCGTTTGGGAGAGCGCAGAAGCTCGAACGCTGAAGTCGCTTGGCGGCCGGGACTCTGTGTTCCTTGGGCAGGACCACGGATGTGGCTATGGAGTTCCGGCGGCGGAGGGTCGTTGTCGATGATTCTAGAGCGAGAGTGGTGGTGATAGAATCCTCCATGATTGGATCCTCCAGGACTAGAATTTGAAAGTATCAATCAAATATTCAAATACCGCTGAAACCCGTGCACTGGCTTAGGCTCTCCCACTCTCTCTCTCTCTCTATATATTTTTTCCGACGGAAAAAGAAAACCTCATCTTTTTTGAAAGTGTTTTGCCTTTATCTTTATTAATGTGAGGTGGCTGTGTGTCATGTGGCCTGGATCAATAGGCTTTTTGATTGAAATAAAATCAAGACAAATTTTTGAATTGTGCCCTTGATTTTAAGTTGACGGTTAAATGTTTGAACGATTTTATAATTAAAAAAATTTAGTATAAATAGTTTTGATTTTAATTTGCTGGCCAGAAATAGTTTTAATTTTCAGTTCTTGATTGTATTTTTTCCCTTAATTTTCGTCCTTTTTAGTATTGCATTTTCCATGATTGAGTCATCTGCGACAGTGACTACAATTAGATCAGCGTTATACTTATTTATAGTTTATATTTATACGGTCAGAATTATTCGATAGCCACTCGTATTCAGTAATATTTGGCTGTTGATAAATTATAGAGTAATGCCATTATCAATTTAATATTAGTAAAATATCAATTCAAGATTAGCAAAATCCCATGTCTTTATTATCATCATCTATATGGCATGAACAAAGTGGTAAAAAATCTTGTTAAAGACAATGTATTTTTGGAAGAATTGCGATGCATATTGCTTGGTCTCTGTACATTCTCAGTTAACAAATTTGATCCAAAGATCCACTCAAAAATTAAGTATGAAGGATGTTTTTGGAAAAATTGTTCTGGTTAATACTTCATAATATTTGAATATGATATCATGCAAAGTTGAAAACACATATATAATTATCCGTATGCATAAAGATATATTTAATTACTTGTTCATTGAAATTTGAAAATAAACAAGTGATTGATGAATCTTCTAGAACCCTCATTTAAATGAATATATATGTGTGTGCATGAATTTGGTGTCATATCGCGTGAATTTGTATTCTTAAATGGTCAAATGACCATATATTTTTTTTATGATTATTCATACGTTATAGGTTCATGATTTTTTTTAATCATAACTTAAATGAATATTGATATGAACAAGCATATGAATTGAAAACGAGTAACTTAAATATAGATTCAATTATTAATACATAGTTGGCAAAAAAACATTATTAATACATACATATATCCATCAGTTTTATTGTTAAAGGATTTTTAAAATTTTAAATTACATAGTATTTAATTTTAGCTAGGAGTCCTATTTTCTTCCCAATTCATTAACCTTTTTTTTTATCAGCTATGATTTTTTTTAAATGCGGTTACGTGATAGTTTGTAGAACTTTTTATAAAACAATATTGTAACTTCAGTAAAATTCAAATAAAAGATTTAAAATAAACAAAAATAAAAGAAGATGTATGTTGATAAACAAACCCGCAAATGCTTAAATTATAGAGAGAAGTGGGGATACCTCAAAAAACAAAAAAAAAATTACAGAGAGAAGCGAGGCACGTGAAAAACTCATAAGTAGTGTAAAGTCATATAATTAAAACATTGAAATTTTGTTAATCAATGCCAATAAGGGAGAATTTTGATTTAGATGTAAAGCATTATAAGAGGTTTTCTACTTTTCTTATATATTTAATACATGTAATTCTTTCCAATAAGATTGAAACAAGTATATTCAAAATTTGAAAATAAAATAGAAATATTAAAAACAACAGATAAGAACAGACTTGTTGATTTTTTCTTTCACGTGGAACATGTTTTGATAACTTGTTTTTGTTTTATGCTCTCTCTTGAAACCATAGGGGGAAAAAAAAAACTCCAAAGCACCTTTGTGTGTGTGTGTGTGTGTGTGTGTTTTGTTATACTAGTTCATCATTATCGTAGTTTAAGAAGTTTTGTTAAAACAAGTCAACAGTATTGGCATTAAAAAGAGCAGGAATTTATCATCTCGTGTATTCTTGGGTGAGTGGCAAGCATGGATTTAGAATCTCAAAACAACAAATATCTTTTTAAGTTTACCGAGTAGAATAAATACATCAGTGACCTGTTACCAAGTAGAATATCTCTATTTACACTCACTTTATTATATTGATGTATGGTCCAGTGGTCTCTTTCGGCTTTCATTGCATGACATCTCTTAATCTCCCGGCTGAAGGGAGTGTTTTAAAGCTGCAATTGTAGATGCAGCATTGATGTTAATGAGGTTGGGCTCAAGCGTTGGGCAAGTCTTTGGACTATCACATTTCTGTTTCTATGGTTGGTGAAGTTTTAGAAATAGCCTCATCTTTCAACCCTAGGGCGCTCCTTTATGTTCTTTTTCTGGTTTTGTTTGTTGTTGTGTTGGACCTCTTTTCAGTGTGCCTGTTTTTAGGTGGCGTTATTTGGTGTTTGCAAAATATATTTGAATGATACGAGTACAAATTTCTCTGGGATCAAAAAAAAGAAAAAAAACATAAAGTATCCCTTATGTTAACATGTCGTGCAAAATATATTAATCACTTGTCATACCTGTGTCTAATTAGGAACAAATCAACTTTTTTTTTTTTAATTCTTTGTTCCCCCCTCTTATTTTCTCATTTCATTGTCATCCCTTTTCCACTCATTTTTGGTATGCCCGCGTTTTGGTTCCTTTTTCATATAATTTTTAAGCAATTTTTTTGTAAAGTAAATGAGCAAAATTACTTTTAAAACTTTAGATTCAACAGCATCATAGACCCTAAATTTAATTATTGTGTGAATTATTTTTTTAACTTTTGAAAATGGTATAGTATAACTCCTATTATTAATAAAGGTTAACTTTAATTATTAATTAATTATAAAATACAAAAATAACTTCAAAAATTATAGAAAATGACCAAAAGGGTCCTTTATTAGGGTATAAAAATTGTTAGTCATTTTTTGTAATTCGTGTTTTATTTCTTTATTATAATTTTTGAGGTAATTTTTTTTGATCAATTAACAGTAATGTTAACTTCTGTTAATGATAAAGATCAGATTATGTTATTTTCAAAAATTGATGAAATAATTTGCATGACAAACAAATTTAAGGTTTATGATACTATTAGACACAAAGTTTAGGATAATTTACTAATATATTCTTTTTTGTTCCAATAGTTATATTTATTTTGTCAACTTAATATTTTATTGTCATCGTTGGCAAGTTTTAACCATGTGCCTTATCTTGAAAAAACCAAAAGTTAAAATAATAATCAAAATAAATTTAAGAGATTAAATTAATAAAAAATTAACTTTAAAAAATTAAATCAATGATTGAAACTAATATAAATGACTATAAATTTTACTATCCTCATATATATAGGAAAAAATAAATCATAAACGATGATTAAAAAAAAAAACCAACATAAAAAGACAAGTATACAGAGATGTATATTACTACATGTAGCATGCACTGCTTCAAATGGATTCACCAGCAACACGTTCATACTTTGAGAGAAAAAAATGTACTGCAGCATCCCGTATGATATAGTATTTTCTTTTGCCCATAATAAAAGAAGATCGCGAGTTTGTAACTATTTTAGGATCTTAAACTAAAATTTACATATTCCAAATAACAAGCTGATTAGATAACTTGTCAAAGTATTGAAAACAATCAATGACGGTGCTAATACCCCGAGCTATGGGGCACAACATTTTTTAAATTAAAAATTTAGAAATAATTAAAAAAATTAGAAATTAAAATCTTTAAAGTTTGGTTAAGAAGCGCTTCAAAATATTTGAGTCAAAAAATATAAAATATTAAAAAACATGAGCATTTTTTATAATTTTCTTTAAATCTAAAGGATGCATTTATCCCCTAACATCCGTGTAGCGCTGCCCATGATAACAATTGAAATTTCGTTGTTTCATTTTAAAAAAAAATAAATTAGATAAGAGTAAAGTTAGAAAAATATGGGTAAAAGCTATCAAATGTTTTATAGTTTAGTCTAAACAAATCTTTTAATTTGTGCCCCATTGTCATGATGGAGCACGACTTATGATACAATAGTAACAATACCACACATTCTATAAAAATTGTATCACTATGCTTTTTTGTTAAAATATTTCTACATGACTTCAAAAAGAAATTAAAAGAATAATATTTTAGTTTACTAACACAACTATCTTTACAATACTTTAAAAATTTGTATCCAAAATTCAAAACACTCTCATTCATCATCAAAAATATTACTTTCTTCATTAAAAAAATGTAAAACATTTTCAATCAAATTTTATCTTCAATAAAGTATTTATCTATTTTCAAACTAACTCTATCTTTTCATATTTAATAAAATATTTACTTCTATTAAATAATCTATAATAAATATAAAGTCATTATTAATAGGGGTACTTTTAAAAAAGTTAATGATTACACCTCAAAAAATAAAAAATATTTTACATTTTTGAACATCTAACTTTTTAAAAAATACTTTACATTTTTAAATAGAGAGAGCACCATATATAGCACATACATTTTATATCTATGTCTTAATATTTTGAAAATTGTTGCATTGGACGTATCATGTTAGATCCTATTTGATATACTTTTTTCATTAAAAAATATAAAATATTTTTAATTTAATTACATTCTTAACAAGTTAATTAATTATTTTTAAATTGATATCATCTTTTCATGCTATCTTTATTTAATAGAATCTATTGATTGATTTAATCATTAAAAATGCTTTTAAAAAAAACTCATTATTTACATTAAAAATAAAAATATATTACATTTTTTAATATTTTATCTGAAAAAATTTGTTTTTATGTTTTTGAAGGAGAGTACAAAGTTGATAAAAATATTTATTGATGTATCACCAAAAATATTTATTTTAAAATTAAGCCATTAAAGGAACATATAACGCAATTTGTTGATTAAATCGAAGAAAATATTCATAATTTTTTTAAAAAAATATGTTTAAGGTAAACAATTTACAAACTGCGACGGTACTCCCCCCATCCCGTGCCCGTGCCACCAACCAACCCTTGACCCATCCCTCCTATCTTCTTACCCGACATTACAACCTCAGGCTTTGGGAAGCTATAGCTGTAGAGTGAGGAAGAGAAGGATCGAGAGAGCACTGTGAACTGAAATTCCACCCAATGGCCTCCTCAACTGCCCCCGCTGCTATCCTTTCTTCAAACCCTACCCTCTTCTCTCCCAAATTATCCTCTCCCTCTCTCTCTTTCTCCCCTTCCTTCCCCAAGTCTTTCGTTGGCCTTCGCAAACCCTCACTCTCTGCTCGCCCTCATTCCTTTTCCTTGAATCGTGCCTCTCATTCTAGACGCAGCTTCGTCGTCAAAGCTTCTGTACGTGCACTCTCTCTTCCCTTACTTATCTGTCTACCTTATTCTTGGCTGATTAATTGCGAAATTTGTACTGCTGACTCGAAATATTGCGCACTTGATTGTTGTTGTTTTTCGTCTAACACATCGTTCGTCTGAAATAGTGCTACATTGGGCCATAAATAACTCTTCAACGTGGATTTTCCTCTATTTCTAAGATTTCTTAGAGGATTTCCTGCCCGTTCCTTTTTCTGCCGTTGTATATTTGCCGTGTTACATTAAAAGCATTCATTTTTCTGTTTACAGCATGTTAAAAACTTAATGATAAAACTTAGATCTTGTTCCATTGAAATACTAATTAGTCATAACAATAAGGAATTTCGATGTTGTGGAGTTGAGAAGCATATTGAGACTAGTAAAAATGTGAATGGGTTCATTTTCCTCTCTTTCTACACTCTTCTCTCTTTGCTCTCAACTTCTGTTTTATATAAAAGCATGTTAATTTTAAGTCTAAATCTTAACACGGAAGAGTTCTGTAAAGGAAGCTGGTATTTCAAGCACTTGGTAAAGCTCTACGATGAAGCAGAGTCGGATGCTTGTGACATTTGAGCATCTAGTATTGTAAAGTCTAGGGTGTGTTATCGATGCTAAGGGAGAATCAACTTTAACCACTGACGGCAGTAACTTCAATGATAAAACCGGATCTCAAGTTTCCTACGAACTTTTCTTTGACTTAACTTTTGAAGTATGCTTTTTCCCTCTCATTTTACAGAGTGAACTTCCACTTGTTGGAAATAAAGCACCGGATTTTGAAGCGGAGGCTGTTTTTGACCAGGAGTTTATCAAGGTAAATGACACGATTCTTCTTATGTCCTTTAATTAGCAGTAGATTCTCTCCTTGTGAAGTGCGTCTTTTATTTGTTTTTTTTTATTGTAATACCTTTTGAGATGTGTTATGCTTGTAAATGTTACTTCATTTCAGGTTAAACTTTCTGATTACATTGGAAAGAAATATGTCATCCTCTTCTTCTACCCCTTGGACTTCACATTCGTTTGTCCAACAGGTTTGTCACTAAATTAGAATGAGGTTAGTAAGATACTAGTCAATGCTGTAGCTACTTTGATTCTTCTCTGATCTCTGTTTTTTACTTATAGAAATCACTGCCTTCAGTGATCGGCATGCAGAATTTGAGGCACTAAATACTGAGATATTGGGTGTTTCAGTTGACAGCGTGGTGAGTTAATTTGCCTTGTGTAGTTTATTATTATCTTCTTCAGTTACTGGCTTTTATATTAGCTATCAAAGAGTGTTAAAATACGTTTGTACGTTTTATATTAGCTATCAAATGAAGTGAGGGTAGAGGGAAATACTATGCTAGCTTACTGCCTCCATAAACATGGGAAAAGAAAAATAGCTGCCAATGAAATTCATAATATATGCAGCGCCCTTAACCTTATGTCCATAAACAGCATGGCATATGCTTTAAGTTCACCTTTATAGTTTCACAGCATGTTCTAATTCAGTTTTAGTTCCTGAGTCTCCTTCTGCTTGTTTAGTGGTTTTACTTCTATTATTGTAGTTCTCGCATCTTGCATGGGTTCAAACGGATAGAAAGTCTGGTGGTCTTGGGGACTTGAAGTATCCACTGATTTCCGATGTCACCAAATCAATTTCAAAATCTTATGGTGTGCTGATTCCTGATCAGGTATGTTTAGGCATTTTAAAATTGTTAATACTGAGACTATGCTGAAATTTCACAGAGCTCTTTTTTTATATTAAAAAAAGGATCTTCTGTCTTCTCTCCTAAAATACGAAGGGAAAATTGTGCTCATAGATCCTTGCGAGTTTCTTAAGAGGCATGGGTTCAGTTTTGTATAATTGCTATTTAAAGTCCTTCTATCTATTCAAATCAACTTATTATGTGTTCATTTTGCTCACCAAAAAAAAAAAAAGTTATTATGTGTTTATGACAAAACTTATGCCTTGGGTATTTTCATCCAAGTGACTCTATCTTGGGGCTTGACCTTGGATGCCCTATGAAACAAAATATAAGATGCTGCTTGGGTAAATCCATAAATGTACATATAGGAAACATCTAAGGCATAAATGTTGCGAAATACCTTACACGCCACTTCTCTGGGCCTGATGTTTCCGATGATTAGGGGATTGCGTTGAGAGGATTGTTCATTATCGACAAGGAAGGCATTATCCAGCATTCTACCATTAACAACCTGGCAATTGGTAGAAGTGTTGATGAGACGAAGAGAACACTACAGGTAATTACGTACACAGACAAGACAACACCAAGATTGAACAATATTTTATGTAACCTATTTTCTGGTCATTTCTTTCTCCTCTCTCACCGTTATCTAATCTCCTCGCTTCCCATTCTGTGTATTTTTCTTGCAGGCCCTGCAGTATGTGCAGGAGAACCCAGATGAAGTTTGCCCTGCTGGGTGGAAGCCCGGTGAGAAGTCCATGAAGCCAGACCCTAAACTTAGCAAGGAGTACTTCGCAGCAGTGTAGGCTGGATGATGGTCAAGACTTAAAAGAGCAGTAATTGTGCATCTGTTATGCAGTGTAGAAGGGTTTTGTTTTTTTTTTTTTTCCGTGACACTTTCTCAAGTCCTGAAATTTGAGCTGCGGGCTGTGAATTATGATAATAAATGCATGTTGGTGTACCTGGATTTTTGAGCGAATTATGTGGCAGTTTTTAACATTTTATTTTGACTGGAATCTGTAAACTATGTGCGCTTGAATGATATATCGCACCCAGGTTGGGACTCCAAGCAGTTTTGGTTCCTCTATCGGATTAATCAATTAGCACTCTACTAGTACTAGGAGCATGAGGGGAACGAGTTATAGCTGTAGCTGGAAAATTTTCCCAATTAATTTATAACCTAATATGACTGGCCCTTGTTTGCTTTTCGTTGTCTTAAATGTGCCAGCTGCAAACATATAGTGTCGATGCTCAAACCATCAAGATTTACTCAATTATACAATTACCAATGGAGAAGTTAGGCCGTTTCAGTGTAACGAGTAACGGGGGGATTTGTTTACTCTCCCCTTTTCGTGTTGAGGTAAAAACTCGGATTGTGGATGGAATCCACTTGGAGGAGTCACCGTTCTTTTTCCTCAGGAAGAAAATCCGGTAAACTTGGAATGATGGTTGGCGAGCGAAAGGTTATCGATATCTTTTATTTATTTATTTTATGCTAAAGAGGCTTTCCACATCCGATCCTCCTGGTTTTACTTTCTGTACTTCTGTGCCGCAAAATAAGGAGCATGTCATTCCACCAGTGGTGCCTGGGTCGTGGTGGCTTCGATGTCCTTAATGCAAGATGGATGACAGAATCAGTTCCGGTTGCTCAACGCAGCAGAAGTAATCGTTCTTATGCACTCAAACCCAATCGGCGAAGGCGGGCGATAGAGAATGCCCAAATCCGACTTTCTCCACTTCACTCAGTGGACCTGAAGATGACGAGCCCTCAGCGACGCCAAAACCTGAAGCCTTTATCCGCGTCGGTTCCTGTTCCGCCACCGCTTGACCTCACCGAAGACAACGTGCGACAAGTCTTGACCGACGCTCGAGCGGAGCTGGGTCAGATCTTCGATGCTTCTGTCGGCATCACTGGTAATTTTTTTAGTTAGAGAGACTTTATGTACCTCCATGCGTGCACGTGGTTATGTATTGAACACAGAATTAAGGGCTCGGTTCAATTCATCAGGGAAGGCTGAGCTGGCAGAACTGGACGGACCTTTCGTGAAGATTAGCCTCAGGGGTCGATTTTGGCACAAGCGTTCCACTGTTCTCGCCAGAGTTGGTAATTATCTGAAGCAGAGGATTCCGGTGAGTCCCATCATCTTATGATGTCTATTTTAACCCAACCTCACAAACCCAATTCATCTATTTCATGCCAGCTACACAATTAACTAGAGCGAGAGGCTTTACAATTTCATAATTTGCTGCCTTTCTGCTTTCTTTCAGGAGATTTTGGAGGTTGATATTGAAGACGAGAAACAATTGGATGACAGTCCTGAGAATTTTTGAGTTAGTGATCCACTCTTATCTTGTTTTTCTACTTTTCGTGCTCTTTCGCCGCCCGATTGCTAACAAAAATTGTGTTTCTACTTACCCCGTAAACCCAATGTGGATGTGATTTGACTTGTAATATCACGCACCACCAGAATGTAGCGGAACAGCCTGAAATTGAATAACATAATGTTGGTGGCGTTCACTGGGTTGACTCGCTGCATTCTGTGCTTGTTTGGATTACATTTGAAATCAATTCTAAAGGTTAAAATTATGATTTTATAAAAATATATTCAAATATCTATCTTACATATTAAAATTAATTACGAATTTAAATTATGTTTTCTTAAAAATATTCAAATGCCCATTATATATGGTAAAATTAATTATGAATTTAAAATCATAATTTTCTTACAAATATCGAAACACTTTTTATTATGTCAAAACTAATTATGAAGCAAAAAATATGGTTGGTAGGATAATTCATATGATTTTTGGATAAAATTTTAAAAATGTATAATTGAAAAATTGAATTGAAAGTAGGTAATAATAATTTATGGAATAATCATAGTTTTGGGTTCATAATTAATTCTAACATACATATGGATATTTGGATACTTTTAAGAAAACTATGATTTTAAGTTTATAATTGATTTTTGGAATGTATGTTAGGTGTTTGGATATTTTTTTATTAATAGTTGTGAATTTATAATTAATTTTAATATGTAACATTGATGTTTGGATTTATTTTTATAAAACCAATCCTTATAGTTTTAATTTTATTGTAACTCTGTTATGGACCGTTGCCCCTTATAATTTAATCATATAATTTTAACTACTTAAATAAAAATGCCTTATATTTAAAAAATAAAATTAAAAATATTTTGAACTTCTAATGTTTATAATATTTATAAAGAATAAAAGGGTTTAATAATTTAAAATATTAGTAAGAAATTTTAATATAATTTTAATTTTATAATTTTACTACTAATATTATAAATATTAAAAATTCAAAATATTTTTAATATTTTTAATTTTATTTTTTTAATTCTTGAGATTAATATTTAAGTGGTTGAAACTATAGAAACTAAATTGCATAAGGTAAAATTTAGGTACGAAATTATAATTAAATTTAAATTATAAAGATTAAGTTATAATAAGTCAAAGTTGAAATGATTGAGTTATGATTGAGTCAAAATTTTAGAGATTAAATAATTAATTTTTCTTTATATTTTTGAAATGTGTTTTTGAATATGCAATGACAAAAAAAAATATTAATTTGTGATAATTTGTAATTTTTGTTCTATAACTATAATATATTAAAAATGTTTAAAAAGTCTGAAATAACATAAAATTTAGTATGTTAAATAATACAAATAAAAAATATAAAACTTGATATGTTGAAAAAGATCATATAATAAATAAATCAATATATATTAATATTGAAAATTAACATATTTCAAAAAAAACTATATGATACATTCTTTTTATTCAAAAAAATTAATCAATTAAACAAATCTTTGTTGGTTAATAAAAATTTTAAATAACATAAAATTTAATATATTAAATACTAAAAGTATAAAATATAAAATTTAATTAATTATTCAATCATAATTTTAAATACTTGATCTCTGAGTATTATTATTTAAATTATTATTATATTTATTAACAATATTTTTTAGAAAAAATATACTTGTAGATCTTTACAATTTAACTCAATTTTAAATTAAGTCATTGTAATTTATTTTACTTTAATCAAATCGTTATAGTTTCATCTATTATATATATTGACTTCTAAAGGTTAATATTAATAATAAATTATTAAATTTTATAAAAATAAAAATACTCTTGGAGTTTACAGAAAATTTAATTTAATACTTTTAGCAAAAATAAAAAAAATTAATTTAATCTACTGTTTATATTTTTGTTATAATTTTTTATAAAAATTCTACATGTATAAAAAATATTTAGAAGACAATCTATTTATATAAATTCTTAATTACAAAAATTATGTAATTAATTTGAAATTCATATAACTATTTAATAAAAATATAGAAGTTTTTATTTTTTTAAAGGAAAAACATAAGGATTTTAACTTTTAGGAATTAAAAAAATTAATTAGCTAAACTATAAGAGCTCAATTAAAATAAAATAAATTGTAAAGACTTAATTTAAAATTGAGTAAAATTGTAAGGACATATAGATATGTTCCTATTTTTTAAACAAAAGAATAATAAATTATACTTGAGATATTATGGGCAAATTACACTTCACTTTTTAAATTCATTTTTTAAAAGCTCCATTATCTTACATTCACAAATACACTTTTAATAATATTCTTGAAGTACTTTTAAGATGTGTCATCATCTCTCTTTTTTTCTTTTCAAACAACATCCCATATTTTAAAAGTAAGAAAGTACTTCCTCAATATCAAAAGTGGGTTATCCAATTATACCCTTAGATGTGAAAACAAAGTCCTCACAATTAGGGGCTCATTTGTTTTAGATTAAAAAATAAATAATTTTTAAATAGTTTAGAGATTTTATAAAAAGAGATTTATTTTGTAAATATTTTATAAAAATCATATATTTTATGTTTGGTTATAATAATAAAAATAATTATTAGTTAGCTATTTTTAAATTTTATAATATTTTTTTATTTTTATTTTATAAAAATAATTTATTATTATATTATTTTAAAATTTTATGATATTTTCACGTATCCGTTTCTTTAAAACACTCTCTTTCATCTATTACATTGAATTTTTTTCAGAAGCTACTCAAAATAACTTTTTAAAATAATTAAAAATTTAATTTTTTTATTTTAATTATTTTTAAAAATTTAAACAAACATTATAAAAACTCAAAATAATTTTTAAAAAGAAACAAGTAATTTTTTTTTATAAAATAAGTTAAACAAATTAGCCTTCGAATTACGGCGGAATGATGGCTTGGGACGAGAATAAGGTGGGAAGGGGCGATTGTAAGAGATGGGCCGTGGGGCGTATGTGAAAAAGCCAGGGAAGAGCGGAGCTGAACGGCTTGGAGGAAATAAAGCCCAATGCCCCATTAACAAAATCGACATGAATCTCCTCTTCGGCCCAAGCGCCTCCTCCCTCCTAAGCCCTTATCTATTTACTTTATTAATTTGTGGCTTTGTGATATACTCGTCTGATCTCATTTATAAAATATGTTTTAAAAAATTCATTTAATTTTATTTATAACATGTGATTTTTCATATAATATTTAAAAAATATTTTTAAAATTATTTTCATGAAAAAAATAATATAATATTATTTTTAAATTTATTATATAAAAATATATTTAAAATTTTACATATTTTTATTTTATATATTTTTTGAATATTGATATTGTTAAAATTAATAGAAATAATTTATAAAAAGAACTGGAGGTAAAGTTCACCGACAACGCTATAAATAATAATTAATTAATCAATGTGCAGGTGATAGGGCGATCATGTGGCCAGTTGTTTCGGGTAACGTCCGTAACAAGAGGCGTCGTTGCTGGATTGTCCCCCTTCCGTACTCCCTACGTCACCATCTTCTACGTCATCTCATCCCCACCAACCCTTAGCAATTGTTTTTCTTTTATATCTTATAAAAAACTTTTTTTTATTAATTGGTGAGCAATCACTAATTTAAAATTGTTCCCAAGTTGCAATAGTGTTTTTCTATGAGCGAGGGCTCCTCTCTCCATCATTTCACTCTTTTTACATTTAATATAAAAATAAAAAATAAAAAATAAAATTTTTTAAAATTATATATATTTAGAAAATAATTTTAAAAATATTAATTTTTTTTTGTTTCTTATTTAATACCCGTGCATTGCATTACACGGAGTAACTTACTAGTTAAATTTAAATTGCCTTCCTATCCCCTTTTCCCCTTTAACTGCCAATGTCTTCAGAACTTGTTGCCTCAAATCTCAAAAGTTAATTGTTACCTTATTTCTAACAAGTTTTTAACTAAATTATACTACCTATCAAACAAATTCCATTACTTTTTGTAGTCTTGTATATAATCAAATTTTGAAGGAGTTTTTAGTCTCAAATATAACAAAAGAGTAATCTCTGTCGTGTGTATTCTTGAATTTTTTTTTAGAAAGTATAATTTTTGGTCCCTACACTTTACTCGTATTTTATTATAAATTTTTTTAATTTTTTAATGCTCTAAGTTCCTATACTTTTATTTTTAAATATTTTAAGTCTCTTTAAGGTCCACATACTTTGTTTATTTAGGAACCTAGAATATAAAAAAAAATTAAAAGCATAGAGATCTAGAACATTAAAAAATAAAAGTATAGGAACATAAATATTAAAAAAATATAAAAATCCATAATAAAATACAAACAAAATGGAGGGCTCAAAATTTATGTTTTTCATTTTTCTTTTCTATTATCACCTTCGTTCATTTAAAGTAGTTGGATTTTGGTTAAGCATCTTTAAAGACACCTGTTCTGCTTTGCCTTGTAATTCTTTTGGTGCAATGAATTGCTATATTGTTTGAAAAAAAAAAAAGAATATAGCCATGATTATTAGAATTGCAAGTATTTTATAAATGTTCTTTGAATTAAAAAGTATATCCTGATTTTAATAAGTTTTGGGATTCAATTCCACTAAAATTTTAATTATAAAGAAAAAAAAAAAATATTCTCTCCAATTCTTAATATAGAACACACTTAACCATTGAAATATGGAATAAAAATAAAAACCATTGATTACTTTAATCTAATCTTATGTTAAATATAAAAATATTCAAAATTTAATTTATAACTAAAGAATATGGAGTGTTGCAGTATCCCTCACACTCTTGCTGATCTCAACAAATTTAGAATAACCCTGATAAGCTAGAGGCTAGAGGGACAGTACTCCACGGAAAATGTCATTTAAAAATCCTTGTGACATTTTAATATCACTGCACCCTCAAAATATATACATGGAAATAAAATTTTGAAGGGAAAAGACCTTATTATTCTTATAGTGTTTCATAAGTTTTGCTTCAATATAAAGTATAAACAACAAAATATTTGTCTACTGATAGTTGGTCATCCATAATTAATAAATGAACATTTGTTTATCAACAAAATACAAAAATAAATAGAAAAAATGACAGACAAATCCACTTAAAATAGCTAAATGACATATTGATTCCATGAAATAACATAATTTTCCTCAGCTCTCTTGTGATCTTTTTATCATTAGGAAATCAAATGAAATAATCAAATTGCCCTTAAAGTAAATAAAAATTCTAATTCTCATTGAAGAAAAATTCTCGCATGTTTAGGATCTGATTAGTGATGTTCATGTTCTCATCTTCTTTGCCTCGTGGTATTGGTTCGTCTCCCTCTCCTCCTGCTTCTCCGTTTCCTTCTCTTTCTTTGGTACACCAACTAATTTTAAACCAGGCAATATCATGAAACTTGTTTATGATCAACCCATTTTGCAAACACCAGCTTTTTCAATTTTCTTACCTGACTTACTATATACAAGAAACGTAAAAAAATCTATTCATTTCTTACTCAAGTCTTAAGAGTCATCATGCAAATACCAGTGATCAATCAAGAAAGCAATGCCCTAGTGCAAAGTACACGAACTATTCTACAAATCAAAACCCTGAAAATACAAATACATTAATAACATGGTGATCTCATTGAGTAGGGGAGCACGTCATTCAGGTTCATTTTGGATAGTTAGAGAAAACCTTCGGGTAACAGAGAGAATAAAGCAGATCATATATAACTTATGTGCAGCATCTAGCAACCATGGATGTTAATAAGTTGAAGCTTTAAACCCACAAATCATATATAACCACAAATTGAAGGTTCAAAACCATAGACCCACAAACGCAAACCTACAATTATTGAAGTGAGAAGAGAAAAGAGGAAGAGTGGGACGAGGCGAACTAGGATTAAGTGCAACTAGGAGGAGGGGGAGGAAAGCTGCTAGACTCACGATGATGACAATGGCGAACCTATTGCGATGAGCAGAGAACTACTGAGACACACACAGTTGAGAACTAAAGCTGGGAATAAGGACCGGGCCTGGAGTGCCGAGCCTGAAGACCTTGTTTAAATAAGGGTTCGGGCTTTGAAAATAATTTTTTTAAAAGTAATTGAGCTTAAGGGGTTGGCTCTGATAAGTCTTATAAAAAAAGACTCGAGCTCGGACAGCCCTTCAAACCCTGTTAGATTATTATTATTATTATTATTATTATTTTCTTTGGTGTAATACGTGTTTGAAGCCAATGCCTACTCACCTGATCCCACACGCATTATATTATTATTACTTTTAATTTATTCTAAAATTAATTTAATATAATTTAATAAATATCAGTGTATAGTATAAAATTTTTTATATTATTTATTTTTTATAATTATTATGTTTGTGTATTTATAAAAAATGAAAACTATTTTTTAACTAAGATTTAAATTTTATAACTTAACTTCCAAATGTGTGTTATTTAATTTCTAAAAAAAATATGAGGATTTTGATTTTTTTGTAATTTCAAAATATTTTAATTAATTTATAATATTTAATTTTATTTTAATTTTTTTATTTTTTAAAAAAGGACTTGCGAGCCCGACCATGAGCCTTTCACATGAGGGTCGGGCTTAAAAAATGAGACTTAAAATAAAAAATTGAGCTTTAAGCTCAAGCCCTTAAGGGTTGAGCCCATAAAGATTGGGCCCGCTGTATTCCAAACTTTATTAAGAACCAAATAGCAACAGCGACAATGAGCTACGCTTAGAACCACTGAGAACCAAATACAAACACCGAGAGCCACTGTCAGGCAATAGTCATGCTGATGGAGACACGACAATGGTTGACGGAGATACACACAATTATGGCAAGAAGCAAGGGCAGAGAGACAACACAGAGTAGAGACTGAAATTGGGGGAAATGACATTTTTTTTAATTTGAACAAAGGACAAAATCATCATTTTTTTTAAATTCTTTAATGATTTAAACATTTTTTAGGATCTAGAGAAATTATATCATTTTGCAAGATTAATTTATTAATTACATAATTTAAAGAGATTTTACTGTTATTTTTTCAAATAAATATGCTCCCACTCAATTCCCAAGACGGATTTTATTTTGCTTGGAAATCTAAATCTCACGCGCCTGCATAATCGTTTATTCAAACAAATCGTTTTGCTTTTATTTAATCAACAACGTTGAAAAAAAAAAATCATTTTTATTTTATATATTTATATCTAATTCCAAAATCATAAGAAAAGCCAAACAAACAACATATTGCAGGATCCGGAAGTTGGGTACCTTAACAGAGTTGATTGTTGCTAACGAATTCTTTCTCAGATCTGTTGAGTCAATTCCATTGCAGCTTTAATGAACTGGCTTTCTTAATTCAACAAGTCGCTGAATTCAGAATTTGAAACCCCAAGTTACCCAACTCCATTGCCACGTTAAAGGACAGGCGGAGATATGAACATTTGGTGTTTAATTTGTTTCAATTCGTTCGTTAAAGAAATTACTCCCTCTATCTCAAATTATAAAATATTTTTAAATAAAATCTCACATATCAATAAATCTTATTAAATATATTTAATAATTTTTTATTTTAAAATAAAAATATAAATTTTTAAAATATTCATCATTTAATTTATTAAAAAGAAAATGGACAGGAATTAATTATAGAGAAAAAAATAATAGTATTGAAATTGATGCATTTAATAAAATTTTAATCTATGTAGAGTATTTTATATTTTGAAATAGAAAAACTCTTTCAAAAATATCTTATAATTTAGAATGAAAGGAGTATTATATTTTGTCAATAAAAATTAATCCATTTAGTAAAGGTTAATTTGTTTCATAATTTAGAGATTGCAGGTTTTAATATTGTGAGAACATTATTGGACACCTTTGTAAATATTTCAACATTCTTTGCACTTATAAGCATGTCTTGATCTTAATAATTTTTCAGAGCTCGAAGCTTACTCAAAATTTTTAAATAATAAATCACTACTTCTCATAAAATAATCTATTTTTTAAATTTAAGCAAATTAGCCTTTAGACACAAACTACTATTTTAATCTTCATCACCATTATCCAAACTACTGAGAAGGTTATGGAGCAAATTGTCAGAATCAGACTGAATATTGAATCACAAAAGTTAGCGGTTCATAGTTTGCATGGTCTAACAATATTGGACCAATGGTCGAATCGGTGACGTAATAATTAAATAAAAAAATTATATATGTATATAATAATTTAAATATAAGAAATAAATACGAAATTGCTACTTAACTTAAAAATAAAATTAAATATTTTAAATTTATCATGACTTAATAAATCACATGATACAATATAATATTAAATGATTAAAAAAATTGGTCATTTTAAAAAAATTGATAAAAAATAAAAAATAGGCATTTTTTGAATAATTCAATTTTTAAAAACTGAAACCGATTTCCATCTGACCGTAAGTTCAAAGTGACCTAATTTGGTCCAACGTTCTAAACGATTTTTTTGATTTGACCAAACTGTTAGCCTAACTAGTCAACAGTTTGATCGGTCCAACCATCCGGTTCGGTTTGATTTTTAAATCACTGCTATAAAGTATTATTAAAATTATGACTCAAATCTTTATAATCATTAGTGGTTATTTTTATATATTATCATGATATAAATCTATTATATGTCTATTTAATATTTTTAAAAATATTTATTATTATCTAAAATAATATTTTTAGTTGATAAAAAGTTCAATATAAATATATGTTATCTCTCCATCTCTCATAGAAAAGACAATTATTATAATTTATTTTTTATAATAAAATTACTTGCTAATTGTTCACAGTATTTTGCCCCTCAAATTAAGGTTTTTCTACATTAAATTTTTTATATTATTTTTTATCACTTTCTTTAACTTATTTATAATTTTTAATTATTTTATCTTGTTTAATTTCGCCCACTATTTGCACACGTCCTAACAAATATGAATGAAGTGATAACTCGAGTCTCAAGTCTCAAGGATGACTCTGTCACATTCCATTTCTCTCATGGCCATGTTTGAACGGAAAGAGAACTCTCAATATGTCAAGTAGTCAACCACTTAAAAAGTTGCAAAATAAAAGAAATACTTTCACGAGAACTTCACCAAACAAAATATTACCTAATTGTTTATCTAAAAAAAAAAATATCACCTCATTAGCAGCAGATCAAAGTTCCAAATAAATAGAATAGAGTATAATTATTATTCACTATGTTGCATCGGAAAAAAAATGAAACGTATTGAAGCACTGGCCTAGTAAAATTGCCTTCTTTTAAAAACAATACTTATTAAAAAAATCTGTATTCAAAAAATATTTCCATAAGTAACCCACTTTTATTTTTTATATTTTATTTTTTGCCGGATTATACAACAAACTTAAAATACAAAACTGCAAAGAATCAAGCTGCAGTTGACACTTACAAGCTACAAACATGGTGGCGAAAAGGATTTAGAAAAAAAAAAAAAAAAAAAGAGGACCCAGTTCCTCTGCCTCAGCTTTCCCGTTGGGATGGAAGAGAGAAGCCTCCTCTACTTCTCCTTTAAAATAGAGAAAAATTTAAACGGTTCAATTTAATTTTTTTATTTTTTATTTTTATTTTAAAAATATATAAAAATTATAAAAAAATTTAATAAATATATTTATTAATCTGATAGTTCATATTTAATATAAATAATTTAAATTTAATATTAAATTTTTTAAAATAAATTTACTGCCCTATTCAAAATATATTTATACTGTTCAAAATATATTTAAAAAATTAATTTAAATTTTTTCTATTGAATTTGAATTATTTATATTAAATCTAAACTGTTAAATTAATAAGTATATTTATTAATTTTTTTTCAATTTTTATATATATTTTATTTTAAAAATGTAAATAAAAATAAAAATATTAAATTTAAATCGTCTAAATTAAATTCACATTTTTCTCTCCCTCAAAAAAAAAAAAATAGAGGAAACTTTCCGATGGAGAGAAGTCGAGTCCCGTTGGGACAGGGCCTCGTGGCTTTTTTATACACAAATTCCAACGCAACCAGGTTCATCGCTCTATCCTTTCTCTGTCTGGTCTGCACGCCCCACTCTCATTTCTCAATTCTCACTAAACTTCCTCAATGGCTTCTCCGCCCATACTCCATCTACTCTGCCTCTTTTCTCTCATCGCCTTTACTTCATCATCATCTTCATCCATCACTCTCCCCATCTCGCCCTTGCACGCCAAGCACCCATCTTCTGATCCCTTTCAGGCCCTCAAAGTCGTTGCCTCTGCTTCCCTTACCAGAGCTCACCACCTCAAGGACCGTAAATCCAATTCTTCCATCATCAAGACGCCCGATTACCCCAAAAGCTTCGGTGGATACTCTGTTGATCTCAGTTTCGGCACGCCACCTCAATCCTTCCCTTTCGTCCTGGACACCGGAAGTAGCCTCGTCTGGTTCCCTTGCTCCTCCCGTTATCTCTGTTCCAGATGTTCCTTCCCCAACATCGATGCCACTAAACTCCCCAAGTTCATCCCGAAGGATTCTTCCTCCGCCAAGTTCGTCGGTTGTAGAAATCCAAAATGTGGTTGGATTTTCGGCCCCGATCTTCAATCTCGATGCCAACAATGCAAACCCCATGCCCAAAACTGCTCACAGATTTGTCCCACTTATATAATTCAGTACGGCTCGGGCTCCACCGCTGGCTTGTTGCTCGTAGAAAGCCTGGACCTTCCTGGGAAAATCGTGTCAGATTTTCTCGTTGGGTGCTCCATCATGTCCATCCGCCAACCGGCCGGAATCGCCGGCTTTGGTCGAGGGCCCGAATCGCTGCCTTCGCAGTTGGGTCTCAAGAGGTTCTCTTACTGCTTGATCTCTCACCGGTTCGACGACTCCACGGAAAGCAGTGACCTCATTTTGCATAGCGACTCCTCCGGCGGCACTAAAACCGATGGCCTCAGCTACACTCCGTTTCAGGAAAACCCCGCTGCCAACAACCCAGCATTCCGCCAGTACTATTACTTAACTATTCGAAAAATCATCATCGGTGGCAAGCGAGTAAAGATTCCATCCAAACTCTTTGAGCCAGATTCAAAGGGTAACGGGGGCACCATAGTGGACTCAGGCTCCACCTTCACATTCATGGAAAGGCCCATTTTCTACTTGGTGGCACAAGAATTCGAGAAACAGATGGCTAATTTTACCAGAGCCAAGGAGGTAGAAAACCGATCCGGTCTAAGCCCCTGTTTCGATTTTTCAGGTCTGGGCTCGATTTCTTTCCCGGAATTCACCATCAAGTTCAGAGGGGGTGCCAACATGACGTTGCCTGTAGAGAACTATTTCTCGTTGGTGGGCGAATCTCAGGTCGCCTGCTTGACGATTATCTCCGACAAAGGGACCATTCCGGCGGCGGCCGGCGGGCCGGCGGTGATTTTAGGGAACTATCAGCAGCAGAATTTCTACGTGGAATATGACTTGGAAAATGGGAGGTTTGGATTCGGGCCTCGAAGTTGCGAGAAGGAAACTTAGTGTTCGCGGCAAGAACGCTTCGACTGCGAGACCAGTCATGAGGTAACCCAGTGGACAATTCATTGACTCGTTGCGGCAGTGTGTGCGGCAGAGATTATGACCGTTGGACACGGCCGCTAGTATGACGGTATAGTAAGGGCATGGTTTATTGGGCGGCGAGGCGGGCGGCGATGATCTTTTTTTTTTTTTTTTTTCAATTGTCGCTGATTAATAATGATTGGAGAAATATGGAACACTAGGCGCAACAAGTACAGCTTATTTTTATTTTTGTTGTTTGTATCTTTCAATAATGATGCAGTAATTCAAGAATTGAGATATTTCTCTCCATTGTTATTATTGTATTATGGGTAGCCCGTAGCGGCCGATATGGTTGAAGCGGCGGTGAAAAGTTTGATGTTGCTTTTAGCTTAGGAGATGGTTATTGTGCAAGGATACATGGAGTGTTGAATTTATTTTCCTTCCATGCAAGGGAGGATGTATTCCAAAATCTTTGTTGCGTTTTTCTTTTCTGATCCGAGCGAAAAGGAGCTTCTTCCCACATGGGAGCGATTCCTTTTTCATGTTCTTTCGGAAAGTTCTCTTTCAGTAAAGCTTTTGTTCTTTTCCTTTCCTTTTCCGCCCGGCGCATTATCTGCGTTTTCAGTTTGTCGTGTTGCGTGTGGCGGGGACACATACAGTAGCAGGGTGAGTTCAAAATCAGTAAATCACCAACAGAGCAGAACGGTTGCGAAGTTTAACAGCCTATGATGTTGTTGACTTTTACGGACATTATTTGAAATTTTGACCAGGCATTGAAAACCCCCCGCGATGCAGAGCCACCTGATTTTACTTTCAAAAGGAAGGCTATTTAGTATTTTACTAATCCAGCTGGTCGTCCTCGCTCAGTCGCCTGGGCGTGTCGTGAGATGCAATAATTGGGAGAGAGGGAGCGACAGAAGAAAGGAATTCCACAGGCGTCAATTATTGTGTTTAATTTTTATTACAGTGAGGTAGGATGGGAACGTCGGCACTAAATCCATGGCGAAACAGGAAACCATATCCTATCATTAAATCAGGTCACACACGGTGATCAACTTTCTTATGTTATAATTGCACAAAGGGTGTAATTCCGAAATCTGCGAGAAAGGGAAGCGAAGAAAGGAAAAGGATCGATGGCACTTTGAGAAAAAGAGATTGAATTTGGGGAAGAAAGTAGGAAGAGTGATAATGAAGGTTGGAAACTTGGAAGTTGGAATACATAATTAAAAAGCGAGCCTAGTGGACACGTGGAGTGGTGGTTAAATTGCCTGATTGGAATCTCCACTCATCAGGCATCACTCAGAAAAAGTCGTTTTAAAAGTCAGGGCATTTCTTAACGCCGGCCTTGCCCAGCAGTGTTTTCTTTTCTTTCTTTCTTCTTTCCCCGAGAGCGAGAAGCAAATACTGCACGTGCTATGTGTGCGAGGATTAACGACTGAGGCAAGTACTATATGACGGTTAATATAAGCTTTCATACATACTTTTTCGGTTCAGTATATAAGTTACTTTTTTAAAATATAATCTGATTTATTTTATAAATTATTTATTAATAAAATTATTTTGTATCAAATTAAAATTAAAAAGTAAAAGATAAAAAATAAAAAATAATATTATATGATTGATTTACTTTTTACTTAAGGGTTATGTTTGAAAATTTTTTTTACTTTTATTTCTTATACTTTTATTGTATTAGTATTAATAAATTAATAAAAATAACTTATAAATAAGATCAGAGGGAGTACAATAAAGTTAGAATAATTAATATTTTTCAAATTTACCTATTATTTATTTTTTAACATTTGAATTCTAAAACAAAAATTTATTATAATTAATTAAATACAAAGAAGGACATAATAAAAAAACAATTACTCTCATTGTCCCATTTTATAAAATATTCTTGGAGGTGATTTGATGTCTCAAAAAATATAAATAGTTTTAAAAAATATTAAAATTTCTTTAATTATAATAATTATAATTCAAATATTATCCCTCGTTATTTTATTCATTAAATAAGTTTTCCCTCTCTTTTATTAACAAAAAATATTTTTAAAATTTTATAAAAAATTATAAATTTTATTTAATTAATTTCATTAATACATGTGTTGGCTTGGTTTCAGGATTTGGGTTCACAATGTTGTGGGATCGCCAAGCATGTCAAAAGAGTAAATTCTCAAAATGAGAGTTGGATAAAATGATTGTGCAGATTTCCAAAGTCTTTTAACCGCAATTTCCTTACAGTGCCAAAGTAAAATGAGAAAATAAGAGTACACCAAAGTGATGCACAGTGTTAAATTGCATTATCAGTGAGTAAGTACAATGAGTGTTCCATTTGACGGAAGGAAAGATAAAGCAAATAGCCCAGGGGAGCTTAAGCTGCAATGACAAGTAGCTACACTAGGCAAACTTGGGATGATACTAGGCCAATAATTTAAGTATGTATTTGGATTAAAAAATTTATAATTGAGGTTAAAATTCAATTGAGATTTAGCAAATTGATATTAGAGAAAAAATCAATGAATATAATGTGATTTATGTTTGGATACTTTTTTTTAGAAGTCAATTAGATAAATTAAAATTTATTTGGATGATTTGATTCAAAATTTAGTTGAGGTGTTTAATAATAAAAATAAATATGAATTTATATATATATATATATTAACTAATTAATAAGTAAAAAATATTAAACTTAAAATCACAATTAATAAGAAAAAAAATCTTATCTATTCTATTATAAAAAGCTAAAATAAATTCATAAATTATATATTCTTTTGTATATACTCTAAAATAATTGATATGAATAGACAAGAAAAATTATGAATTGATATACGTGGGTTAAATTATGTTCTAACAGTACCAAACTTATTTTCTTCCTATTCCTATTCTTTTTTTTTTTACTCTCATTCAATCAATAATCATCTAAATGAACCAAATCACCCCCAAAATTTCAAAAAAAAAAATCATAACACAGTTAAAAAAAAGTAGCATTAAAGGAAGACTTGAGTTTCATGATCAAGGTTGACTTGCCATGGTTGTACGTCAAAAAGTTGTCCCAATAGTGGAGTTGCGTGGAACTAAAAAGAAGCGTGGAAGAAAGTAGATGGACCTTCATGTGGAAGTATTAAATGCTCCCCAACATCCTTTACTCTACCAACACTTATTGTAAAAGCTACCCCCTCTAGCTTTGTGAAAGATGCTGGCTTGAACCCTAACCTCAGTTGAGAGTTTTTGTCATCCAAACATAATAAATTAATCTTTTAACATTTCAACTGAAATTTAGGCCATTTCAACTAAGTTAGGATTCAATCCAAACATGCACTAAGCATTGCACTAGGTAAGTAGGTTAAATGAGTTGAAATTGCATAGTATTTAGAGAGTTTAGTTGCGCGCCTGTTGCTTATTTTTGAGGAAGACAATAGCATACTCCTTCAAATTCAAACTTTGGAGCCAAAAGGAGCATATAGCTGTTGATGCCATCAAGATGTTGAGGGTACGCTTCATCGCGTGATGTAAGGAGAGTGAGTCTGTCATATAATTTGGACAATAGGAAATAGAGTTGGGAATAAGGGTTGGGTTTAGAGGCCATGTTTAAATAAGGATTTGGATTTTGAAATTTTTTTAAAGGATCTGGGTTTAAGGGTCGGGCTCTAATTAGCCTCGTGAAAAAGAGCTTAGGCCTAATAAGCCTGATTATCTTGTATATATATTTACATACATATATTTGATTGATAATGATACAATTTGATTAATATTCATTATAGGCGATGAAGAAGAAGTTGTAAAAATAATTGATAATTAATCTCTACTTTCCATTTCAACAAATGCACTTACACTTGAGGGATTAATATTTTATTTGTAGATGGTGATGATTTGGGTTTTGATTGATGAATGTGTGTTATTTAAATTTTTAAAATATTGTGAGGATTTTAATTTTTTTAATTTAAAAATATTTTAATTAATTTATGATATTTAATTTTATTTTAAATTTTTAAGATAGGGCTTTCGGGCTTGGCCCTAAGCCTTTTATATAAGGGTCAAGCCTAAAAAAGGGAGCTAAAAATAAAAAACTGAGCTCAAGTGTTTAGGTGTTTAAGGATCAAGCTCGCCTGTTTTTAGCTCTATAAAAAAAGTGAGGTGAGATTGGGTTGTAGAGCTCCCTAAATGTGACATCTATTTAGTCCCAATAGGGCTGGGTAGCCATTGGGCCTGGATTGAGCCCAATGGCTCAATAATTTTCTCTTCAAGCTGAGCGCATCAAATTTGGTTTAAACAATATTTTATATGAGAAAATTACTTTATAAATTTAGACCGATGGGGTAATTCTTTAATAGCCACCCTCCTCCGTTTTGTTTTGTTTTTTGGGATCAACTGTTGCACTTGCATCTTTCTATCATGTGTAATTTTTTAGGATTTCTAACAAAGTAATCGGTCGGGACATCCAATCCGTTTTACAACGAACGTGTCATTTTAGTTGGAAATATTCTCCTTCATTCTCATAATTCTCACCCTACTTTTGTCTTTGATGTTTCATTTTAGTTGAAACATGTTGCTTAACTATTACGTATCTTATCGTGCCTTCCCCCTCTTGAAATGTTTCTATTTTTCATTCTTTTTTAATCACTCTTTGATTTAGTACCACTCGATGGATTTGTTTAATTGCCTTAGCAGTGTAATTTGTCAAATGAACATGCATCTTGAATTTTGTTAGAGCAACACTTCATCTTCGCTTATATTTTACTTTATTACGTACGGATATCTTTCATATTTATTTTACAAAAATGTACAAACTTATTTTAAATATAAATAAGCCTGAAATTAAAACCTAACAAGTTAATGAGCTGTCGAAACATAAAATTTTATTTTTAATAAAAGTACATATCCCTTTAGGCGTAAACATTGATTAATAATATTTTAAATATTATAAAATACTTTCAACTGTTTTATATATTTTTAAAAAAGTTATTTTTTTAGATATCATGAAAAAGTGAAATGTACTTTCATTTTTACCCTTGACTTTAAATAGTAATACAATTATATTAAATATCTTCATAATGATCGAGAAGGGATAAAATTAAAAAAAGTAATTTAATTATTGCAAAATATCCTATATTTTGAACTAAGAATTATTTTTAGAAGGTGTATTTTAAATAGGATCGGAGGGAAATAGCTAATTTTTCAAACATAAATGCAATTTTTCTTTGGCTGGTAAAAAACAAAATACCTTTATTCAAATTTTCAATATTTTTTCAACAATTTTCTTCCAGCTGACAAATATTATTTAATTTGTCTCACTCAATAACTCTTAATGCTGCCAGGTAAATTGTGATTATGTGGGAATATGTAGCTGTTAGTTATCTACATGCCAATGATCTGAATCGTGTTGATGAAGTCAATCCAGGTGTAAGTATACAAACGAGTAGTAACAGGACCATTTTTTTAATTATACATACAGGCATCCCAAAGCCAAAAGTGCTAGCCGCTGGATATATTTTTGGGCAAAGGTAAAAATTTAATTATAGATTATTTTTTAAGAAATATCTAATAACTTACATTATGAAATGATGTAAAATAAATCATCAATTGTTAAAAATGGAATGCCCA